TTTGAACCGTAGTGCGATCATTTTTCATCATCAAAAAAAAATGCTGCGATTGCTTTTAGTGAGTTTTCATGCTGCCTCCGCTGGAGCGATTCTCTTCGGATTTTATTGGACGCACCTCATTGGCATGCTTTCTTTGGCAGGTATTGCAAAAATGTTTACATTGTGGACTGCTTGTGCATTGGTTGTGTACTTTTTTGGCATGTGTTGTGGAGGATTTGGTTAGGTCGGGATCATCATTTTCCAAAACGTTGAGATCCTTGTTGAGTGATTTCTTTCATTTGACTTTTATCATGTCGGTCGCTACTGTAATTTTATTTTGGTCGATCTATTTGTTAAATCCTGAGAATATGGTGCCCAAAGGATTTTATTATCCAGATGGATTGAATCATATTCATCACACTCTACCTCTGGTCATTGTGTTAATTGAAATGATAGTGGTTCGATCGCGAACTGATTTACTTGATGGTTTTTGGACACGAAAGTTTTATTTGATTTGTGTTGTTCCTGTCATTTACTTGTCTCTCACAGGTTTGACACGCTATCTGAAAGGCACTTTTCCTTACCCATTTATGCAAGCTTGGGGAGTTGTTGAATTCACCATATTCTATGTTTTCGCCACCACTCTTGCCATTTTCATGCATTATGTTGTTTATTGGTTTGTGAATGCAGTTAAAAAGCTTCCCTCAAAGAAATTGGATTAGCCATCATTGATACAGAATTAAATTTCGAAATTATCGAATGAGCCATACTTTAATTTAATTTATTAATTTATTTTACACGAATTCTTTCTTATTCAATAATGAGGACATGAGCGTCACCGAAATCACACACAAATAGTTCGTGTGTTTCCCTATGCAAACAGAGTCCTTTAGGGAATTTCAGTAAGCTATCTCTGCTCGATGAATTTCCATATTCTTTAACAGGTCTTCTCTGACGTGAGAACAGTTGAAGCATTCCTTTAGGGTCTTTCGAATAGTTTGAAGTGTTAAATTCTGGATCAGAAACAATGAATTGGTTATTTTGTGAGTCAAAAATAACCGAATAAGCTTCCACAAAGTGCTCTAATCTTGAGCGATCTCCACACAAGAGGTAAAGATCTGCTGCCTCTGAATTCTTTTTTGCTATCACTTTCACAACAGCTTTGGAGTAGGCCCATGATACGACCAACTCCTCATCGGATACAACACAAACATCACATGGCTCAAGACCAATTTCAATGTTTCTGGTCAACTCTCCTGTCTTTAAATTTAAAACTCTTAAAAAACAATTTCCCGGATCACACACGACTAACTCTCGCTGTGCCTTAGTCACAATACACATTCCTAAAGGTGCTCTTGTAAATAACTTGTTTTCCCAAATGAAGGGAATTGAAAGATCTCCATTCGAAAGAAATTCATGAAGGTCTATCTTACAAACACTGTAGGTCATGGTTGGAACAGTTGGCTTTTCACGACCGATCAACAATGCATCACGCCCATGTCCATCATAATTTTCTTCAATGCACAAATAATTTGGAAAAAAGTTTTCCACAGAAAGAGAATTTGTGTGTTTCCGAGTTTTCAAATCAAAAACTTCAATAGTCTGTGTGCCTTGATCATTGATCAAAATACAATTACAATTATACGAGATGGCCACATCAAAAGGAGCCGTAAAATCAAATGACAATGAGGAAGTGACGTGTAACGATTGAATTCTGATTTTCTTTGTCAATATGGTTAAAAGAAAGTCCTAATGAGTCTTGTTGTTCGATTCAAAATCAATGAGATCCATGATGGTATGTTCTTCTTCACCGTGTTGCTGAGAAATCATTTTTTTCAATTCGATCAAAACTCCAAAAACTCATTCCACACCTTTATTGCGAACTGTTAGTAAGTTGACAATAAACCTCAAACAAGTGTGCTGTTTTCAATTCATCAGATAGTAACTGTAACCACTTGAAATCTCCAAGCTTTTTACCTCCACTGTTGCTGTCAGCATTGTCTGTTTGTTTGGAAACTTGTGCCATGTTCTCCACAGCAGGAGTGATTTCTAGCATTTGCTTGAGAGGAATCTCTGAATCTAACGTTTCATTGGTAAAGTATGAGAGTAATAATTCCTTGATGGAGCATGTCAAGATTGAAAGATCAGTAAGTGAGAGTTTTTCTTTGAATTCTTTCAAATGGTTGAGAAGAGATGACGGTATGGCACGCTTGTACCTGTTTGAAATGATGGAGGATTCAATTGTAGATCCTGGTGAAAGCTCATTCTCTAATAATTGCCATAATGACAACAAGTGACACAACTTCACATGAATCATGATATTGGAAATATTACATAATGGTTGATTGGATGTGGTGGATGGATCAACAAGTAAAATATTATGTAAATAATCTGTGATGGACATCTTTTCCACATCTTCCAAATTATTAGAACTTGAAATAGCTTGCAAGAAAGAGATACATTCTTCCACTTGTCTTAAACAGGCTTGGATTATGTCTAAACTAGTTTCGTTGGCTCTCATCTCTAGAATGATCGCTTGTTTGATATCTGTTGGAATTTCCACTTGCTTGATTTTTCGTTTAAGTTCGCTCACAGGTCCTCCAATTTGATCTCCAAAACCAGTCGAGTATCTTGTTTCGTTTAAGAATAAGAACCCTTCCAATTCTAACTTGATTTTTGGTTTTCCTGACAAGTATTTTGTCAAAATAAATTGCTCAATTCTTTCATAATCAAATTTGTGTCTTGCACTTGATTTTTGCTTGTCGCCATTAGTATTGTTGGAAGTCAATGTTGGTTCATTTAATTTCGATTCTGCAATGACTGATACCAACTCTTCTTCGATGTTAAATACAATGAGATGATGTTTGGAGACGAAACGGCTCGAAATTTCAATTGGAGTGTTTTCCACGTTCTTATTGAATAGTTTTCCAACTTTCTCAATCACTTCATTATGCTTATCAATTAAAAATTGTGTCACAGCAAGCGAACAAATGCCTTCATCTTGACCCGTCTCATCCGGAATAGAAAATGAGAGTGGAGTATCCTTGGTCATGACAATATTTCTACACCAATTAGGAAGAGGCAAGCACTTGTAGCGATCAATAAATTTCCAGCTATGGTTAAATGCTTTAGCCCAGCCTTCAAATAATTTTTCAATTGATGCTTTCTTGTCTGAACCCATTTGTAAGATGACTGGAGATAATGCCATTGCAGAATTAAATTCTGATAACACGTCTCGAACGGTGCGAGTTCTTGCATAGTGTCTATCTATTCTTCGAGAAAAAGTGGACATGATCAATTTTTGCCACTTGATCACATGAGGAATGTATCTTGTGGCGTAGAGCATTGGCTCATTCTGAATAAAGAGATTCAAAATTGGATATTTCTGCTCTACTCTGTCATTGATAAAGGCAAGCTTAAACTGTTCATAGGTGATCGGTACCTTAATATTCCATAACTGACTAATAGGATCTGTGAGAGGCAATATTGGCTGTGAGGTTGACTCTGGTGAGAATAGTAATACATTAGTGACAGGATCATGACTTCTCTTTTGGAAATTGTCTAATTGTTTGAAATATAATTGATACTTCTTTGTAGCATTTTCAACCACCATAGACACACAACCATTGAAGTGATTTTCCCATGCGTTTCTTCCAGACTTGGTAGACAAATCTCTCGAAGCAACTCCAGGTTGTTTTGTATTGGATTTTCTCTTGAGTTCCATTTGTTTTGATGAATAACTGAACAGCTCTAAAATATTGAACAATAATACGCTTGCCTTCTCTTCATTATTTTCTCCCAATAGTTCAACAATAATACTCCAATCGTTTCTAATATGTGACAATAGATATTCATGAAGATTGGTTATGGATGATGTATCCATTGATTTGTGGAAGAGTGCCTTGTACTCCTCTTCCCTTTCTGGGAATAGAGAGGAGCCAGTGATGAGCAATGAATGTATGATCAGTCTGACCACTCTGAAGACAAGTGGTGATAATGAACGAACAGTTGCTTTCAAATCTCTTTCTTTAAAGTATTCATAAACAGCATAACCTGTTGGTGCCAAATCCTCCTCATGTTTGATCTTATCGTTGGAATAGTGAGGAACATGATCAGAGCCTCCAATTGGAAGTCCACATTCTGGGCATTGAGCTTGCTCCAAAGGAAGGCCACATAAATCAATAAAGTAGACATGACCCTTTGAGCATCTGTACCAGTTAATAATGCCACCACTATTATTGATTGTGTTAATGACTTGACTTCTGGCGTCATCGGTGATGCTTGGTAAATACTTGTCTTTCATAGATAAAGGTTCAAATAAAAGCATCCACCAGAATTGATCGGACGAGAAGTTTGAAAGTGCAATTGAACAAATATGATGTACAATATGAACTAGGGTCAAATTCTCTAGAGAAGTATTCTCACTGAGATAGAAGAAATTATTCTCGTCAAATGCATTGGTTGCAAATTTGATGGTCATCAACACTTCTTTCTCATCCTTTAAGACATGTCTGAGTAGATAATTTTTAAGTTTGGTAATGTCAATAGTATTTCTACTGATCAACTCCTCTTCAGACATGGCAATTCTACTCTCCTTAATGGAAGTTTCAGCACAGAACGACAAGTAGCACTTGTCAATAACTGCCAAGTAGCAGAGCTTTTTAAGGGAATGAATATCAATTTGCTGTCCTGTGTGAATGATTGATTCGAGCGAGGATTTGAGCTTGATAATTGACTCTGTTTTTGAGGTACTGTCCCCTTGCTGCTGTCGTAAGCTCATAATCATATCGACGCATGCTCCAATCTCCTCAAGTCCATTCAACACATGTATCAAAACATTTTGTGGAATACTGTCGGTGTATTTAAATCCATAGAGAACCAATGAAATCCATGGAATGTGTTCAGCAACTTTTGAACGAAAAGTTTTCAGTAAAAAGACTCTGCCCTTCCTTTCGACAACCAATCGAAGGAGTACCAATCGCAGGAAATTGAAACTGGGCTTATCGAGAAGAGTCAATAACTGTTGGTAGATGGTGTTTGATCCAATGATGGCTCGTATGGATTCTCCTTTTTCAGATGCAGCAATTAATCTGTCTGCAAATGAGGATAAAGATGTTCTAATAACAGCCAGTAATTGTACTTCCTTGATTATATCTTTCCAAGTATGGACATCAAGAATCGACTCTGAAATAGAGGAAATTAATTTGGAAATTTGCTCCTCAGGAATACTCTGAAGAACCGATTCATAGATGCACAAATAACTGTAAAATGTGCTCTGGTCGAGAGATGCTGAGCTATTGATCGATGCTACGGCCGATATTCCCAATTCTTGTTTGACGATTTCTCTCAGCTCGGAATTCACAAGCACTTTGGTTTGTTTGTTGAGAAGGAGCTTCTTCAAAATGCTAACCTTAAGATTTTGAGTTGGATTTTTCATGACCTGTTTAAACTTTTCATTATCTCCTTTCACAATACTGACTAACACGGAGTAAAATGATTTGTCAATCTCATCATCTTTACCAATGGGTCTTATAAGGAACTTGGAGGTAAACATTTCGAAAAATCGTGAAATATTGGCTTTTCTGGTGTCAATCGTGGTCGATTTTTGATTATCTCCAATCTTGCTAACCAAGTCAAGGAAGTACAGAATTAATTCCAAACTATTGATCGAAGAGAGAGGTTTGGTTTTCATATTTTGCCACAAAATCATGGATATATCTTTAACAATTCCCAAAGGAATGGCAATCTCTTGAAGATACTCCTTGTAGAATTGCAGCTTTCTCCATTTCTCATGAATGAATCCAATATTATTTAACATGGATGATCCAGAATTTCGCATCAAACTCGTTAATACCTCTACAGGACCCTTGATGTCAGTCAATGTTTTTACCCAAATCATTCTTCGTTGTTTTGTGATAACAGGATCATATGAAATTTCAACCTTTCTTGGATCTAAATTATGATAAATCACGCTGAATAGTAATATATCAATTTCCTCAACGGATGTCACTCTCAATGAAGGAACAAGGAGCTTTTGTAAGAATTTCTTTTGAAGAACGGACTTGGGGAACGTCTCAAAGAGTACATAGTAAGCCTGTAATCTTCGTTCTTGCTTCCAGTAGAATGAAAGCGCATTGGCAATATGACTATTTGTATCGCTAGAATCGTTATGCTCTGTCTCGAGCATTTTCTTGAGAATTTCATATTGAACTTCATTCGTTAGAACTGTACATTGTTCTCCAAACATACACATGTAGTCATAGATAAAGAATTCTGAAAATTCTCTTGGCAAGTTATTAAGGAATGGATACAACATGTTGATATGATTTTGAAGTGCTGTAGTAACACCAAAACGTGAGCTCTCACAAATGCTTCTCAAGCTGTGTAAATATCTACAAACTTCAAAGGAAAATGGGAATCGACATTTGAATATTCTGTTATTGTTTCCATCATTTTTCACTTCTATGGGTTTCCAACGAAGTAATTCTGCCGAAGAGTTGGCCTGATCATACTTGGTGAACATGTTCGTAATGGATGGACGTTTCATATCGCTCAATAGTCGAAGCCAAAGTGATGTTCCATCCGTTCTGTTTGCCTTCTTAAATTCAAAGTACAAATCCAGATTGTTGTTTCTCTCCAATTCTGCAAGAAGATATGTAAATGATTTGATTAATATTCTCTCAATGCAATATTGGATTGCAGAATAATAAGTGTTTGCTACCAGAAAATATTCTTGCATGTGTTGAGCAACAAAGGTCGAATAATAATTTGTCTGATTCTGAGAGAAGTAGTCAAAACAAATCTCCATGATTTTTGGTTGAATTACTTTCCAACAGTCTTCGTTGTCTAGAAGTTCTTTGGTTCTCGAAATTAGTACAGTAATGTCATTAATTTTGGTGTTGGTTTTCCTTAACAGAGCCAATGCGGTTCTGAAGTTATTGCTAATAATTTGTCGAACATTTGCAAGTTGTATCTGCTCAGAAAAAGGTCTATTTAAAATGTCATAGATGGAATGCTGCATAGGTCTAATTTCATCTATAAATGCATACTTCCATGGTGTGTCAAACTCAATTAAATATTGAGTCGTGTTGGACTTTCCTGGAACAACATTTACAATTAGAAGCACATTCTTTCCCTGAGTATTGAGTATCCCAGAACATGTTCTTTGTTTTTGAATCATGAACTTGGTTTGATTTAACAAATCAAAATTCACAATCTCACACTGAATGATTAATACATGCTGTGCAGTTTGCGTTGAAACTGGCTTTTCAAAGTATTGTTTCAGTTTTTCTGATAATCCAATATCTGATTTTTAAGTCGCTCAAACTCAAGGTCTCTACATATTCAACTCGATCAGTGCTGATCAGAGAGCTGCAGTCCATAGAAACTGACGAATAAGTCAGTACACAGACTTGGAAGTATCCATTAAAAATCAGAGGATTCGATAAGCCGCTTTTTTGTTGTGACTGCATTGCTTCAAACAAGTACTGAGAAAATTTAAAGAGATCTCTATGCTCTTGCTGTTCGAAATACATTCTAGCATACTCCTTATTTCTTAAATTCTTTGAAGACATTCTAATTATGGCATCAGTTGTGGTGATCCACAGCAATAAATTCTTGCATTGACTTAGGAGAAAGTCATGCAACGTTGTGTCTTCTGTTTGTTTCGAGTCCAATGACAATACCAAAGAATGGAGTAGAGATTTGTGAGTGTTAACAAATGGTCTTTCATCTTCATCAAAGGTTGATTTTACCCAACTCTGAAGTTTTGATAAAACTGCTCGCAAGTTGGCTGAGGAGTACTTGTCGAATAAATCCTCTCTGTGAAGTGTTTGCTTTTCAAATCGATTGAGAAGTGGTTTTGGTAATCGTGTATATGCATCATCCTGATCTACAATTACAATGACTCTGAAGTTTTTGTGAACCGAGCAAATTCTGCTGTAAGTTCCTAAGGAGATTGCAACAACGCGATTCTCATCATATTCTATATACTGTAAATTAAATAAATCGTACAAGCTCTCATAGAGTTGTTCACAATTCACCAGTACAACAATTTTTCCAATGGCCATACACTGCTTAATTAGTTGAATATCCATACATATCTGGAGTTCTTTAGCGCAATTTTGGAAGTTTGATGAGCCGAATATGACCTCAGAATTGGAGTATGACATTATTTGTCCAAAATCAGAAAATAATACGGAAAGAGCAGCATTATTCTTGGTAAGGAGCATGAGGTGTCGTGCTTTTGTGTCTGTCAAATTTTCTGAGATGTACTCCAATTTTGACTTTCTATTCGGAACGATATTCATTCCCACACATGAAAAGAAAATATTAAGGATGGTGTGAAATTCTTCATTACTGGAGCCACCAAAATTACGAGCTAAAGCATCAGTTAAAAGTTCTGGTGTCAAAGCACCTAAATCAAAATTCCGGTTGATGAATTTCACACAGTGATAAAAGTCTCTTAATCCAAAGAAGTCTTTTCTTTGTTGGCTGTTGTAAACATCATGGAAAGCCTTAGCTAACGAAAATAAGCTACTATCCAAATGTACAGAGTTGACAATGCCAGAAAGCGTTGTTTTCAACTCGAAAGTGGAGGGAGCTGGTCTTGACAAATAAACTGCTCTGTTAATGAGATTTGGATCTAACGTCCAATTCGAAAGCCCAATAACAGAGGGAGCATAAGTTGAGCTTTCCTCATCAAGTTCCTTGTTCACCACCTTCAATGGATGAGAGGGTGAATGTTCTAAGAGTCCAACCTCGTTCAAAAGAACCACAGCAATGGAGTTGGGAGAATTTTTCTGATATCTTCTTGCTGATTCAAAGCAGCTCTTAACATCTTCAGGTGTTGACATTTGCGAACATTGATAGGTGAATATTTCAAGAGATGGGAGAGATCTTAAAAACGCATTCACACTCGCACTTCCATTCAAGTTTGAAGATAGAATTTCTAAGGACAATGACTTGGAGCTTCCACTTTTTCCGTTGATGAAAATTGGAATTCTATTCAAGACGCAAACAAGTGTCATGAAAATGTTTTCTCTTAAAGCTTGATTCAGAGCTACACCTTTTGGAATATTTAAATGCATTGTATAAAAACGCTGTTCCTCATTGAGTGTGTTGATAAAATCGCCTTTTTGATAGGATAAATATGTACTAGATTTGTTTGAAGAAAGGAGATAGTCTTCAATTTCTATCACGAAATCTTCCCTACGAGCAGTAAGTCGGTAATAGTAACAACTACCCAGAGCAAGTAGTATGGAGTTCTTAATAATGAAATTTGACTCGTCTAAATAAAATTCTGAATCCAAGGAGTTTCTCTTTGCAAGAGATTGATAAAAGCTCTTAAACAAATTAATGCATCTTTTCACATCCCTCAAGTTTACAGCGCTGCGCTCCATGTATACCTTTCTTATAAAGTTTTGTGAAATGAAAATCAGCTCTGTAAAGCAATCAAAGAATCTTGCCGACCTAGTATTGTCTTCCTGATTAATTTCCATTAGTAATATAGCACGAATGTACAACTGCTCAATGTCACTTTTAAGTGACCCAAAGCTAAAAACTGAATCCAGTAAAGAGACTGGAAGAGGATAAACCTTGTAAACAAGGCATTGAGCAAAGGCTTGAATATCTAGCCCAGTAGTCTTTTGAAGATTTCTTAAATTTTCTTTAAGGATATCAAGCTTTTGAGAAGAAGGTTGTTCTACATCAGTTCCTGCATATCTTCTCAGACGGTATGGATTACAAGAAGCAACAATTTTGAGATTTTTTGGAAGTACCTGGTTATTGATAACTCGGTCACATATCAGCTCCTTGAACAATCCGACATTGTTTGCTGTATTCACTCTATCGAAAAATGCAATCACATCCTTGGAAGGGTTATGTTTGGCCTCTCTGATGAGTGGGTTAATCCAGTTCAAAATGTCTAAGCTACTGTGGCCTTCATTAACAACGAAACGTTTCAGCTTGATGCCCAAAACAGAGCTTAAATATTTGGTCAGCTCTGATTTTCCAACTCCATTGTCACCATACAAAATGGTTGGTAAACTGTATTTGAGTTTGTTGTAAATAACAAGCACCTTGCTCAAATTGTCAACTGTTAATACATAGTTGTTTCTAACTTTCTCGTTTCGATCCTCTTTTCCAAGTCCTGCTACATTTCTAATAATTTCTTGAGCTCTTTCGTGTGAAAGTGCTCTAGGAGCGTCCAAGTTGATTCCATTGCAAACCAGTGAGTATTTCAACTCTTCATTTAGTTCCAATTTATCTGTATCAATTCCTATGAGATCGATACCTGTAATTTCATCCATTTCGGTCCTATAGAATACAATTAGTGGATGTTGAGCAGATTGTTCTTCCCAACGTCCTATTCGGTTTTCGAACATTTCAATATATTGTAGTAACAGAACCTCGGTATACGGTTTACCTTCGTATTTCTTAGCCATAGTCAGGATTGTATCTTTTTCAACTGCGATGCCTGTCAAATCTCTTGCAGACCTAATCATTAAGTCAATCATTGCATGTTTAAAAAGTTGCATGGTTCCTTCCATGACACAATTTTTGAAACATGCATATCTAAGAGTAGACTGAAATTGTCCATAAAGCAATTCTGTAGAAAATTATTGTTGAATGTAAAAATAAAAAAATTCACAGGACAACTTACCAACAAAGTGATTGATCACAGAGAATGAGGCGTTCTCATAATTGAATCCAGTATATTTGCAAAGAAGTTTAAAACATTTTCTGTTGTCAAGATCAGCTTGCTTATCAGGAGAAAAATCGGCAATATGAGGGGCAGCATATTTGAAAATATTTTCCTCAAATGCTTTTAAAAATTTGCAGACAAACTGCACTTTCTTTGAGTTATCTCTAGCAATAATTTCTATGGTATCATTCATTCCATTAGCCAGCTCATAGCTTGTGAAATCCAAACTATTTTCGTCAGTAGTAATGTCTAGTGAAGGTAAAAATGCACAGAAATATATAAATTCATTCAAAATAGGAACACAAAGACTGTTAGGTATCTCAATGTAGAATTGAGTAGAAGGTGTCAAATGGAAAATGGTAGCTGTGTCATGATCTCTAACTCTACCCAAATAAAAAAGTTCAAAAAACAAAGAGTTAAAGTGCTTTGGAACAAGTGGGCATAAAGAAAAGTGAAAAGCAATGTCTTTTCTATCCATATTTTCTACTGTTCTTTTAAGAGTAAATACTGTGTCCCTGATTGTCGAGTCTTCAAGCACAGTAATTCTCTTATACTTCTTCTTATTCGTGTAAATATCTTTAAGTATGTAGCGAGTTTTTCCGGCTGCAGTACGATTTGAGAATACATATTTCACATGATTACCATGATATGACTTGAGAATCGCTGATATGTACTTGTGAGGAAGTAATTTGAAATTTGAATCTACATATTGCGAAAATTCTACCAAGAGTCTGGAATTACTGTCTGCTCCACTGAGTAGTACCAGTTTGGCATGATTGTTTGATGCTTTAGCCATGGTCGAAATTTGTTCTTGGATACGTAACAGCATTTTCGATTGAACAGAAAATGGTAACTCGTGAATATTCCCAATACAAAATATGTGATTAAGTTTTCCATTGGCGCTTGACTTGAACCACCGATTCAGAATGAGATAAATGTCTTCAATATCTGTTTCGTGAGAGTTGCATAGTAATACTTCTTCACTTAAAGGAAGCCTGTTTTGTGCAGAATAAATGGTCATGATTGCATCCATGACCTCTTTTTCCTTGCTTAGCTTGATGATTCTGAAGAATCCTCCAAAGTTGGCAACGGAGTACTTGGATGTTATTGCTGAGGGAATAGTATAATCTGATTTTCTATAATTGATATTCCTATTTCTGAATAGAGCTTCAATGAATAAACACAATTTTTCCATCTTTGCGGCTACAGACATCTCTTTGGAGAAAGTAACATCCTGCATGCCGTTCATACAAGCTTCAATCTCATTGACAGTCAAGTTATGATCGCCCAGTTGAAGAATGTCCAATAATTCTCGTAATATATCATTCTTGGTTTCTTCCTTGTACCTAGTTAGCAAATTAAAGATATGTAGAGACTCTTTCGCTCTGAATAAATTAATGAAATAGTATTTGTTTCGAGAATCTTCAACAATTTTTTTCCATTCTGTCATCTTTTGGAGAACCTGTGAATGATAGTCTTGTATGACCTCAAAAGTGCATTCTGAAGCCTTGATCGTTTTAAAGTAATTATCCTGAAAATCGAAATGAGCAGATCGAGACAACTCGAGCAGGGATGACCTTAATTCAATCATTAATGTAATGTAGCTCACGTATAATTTGATCTTTGAATGTACATCATCCAAGCTGTTAATGTTGTCTGGTATCTCGCTCAACATCAATTTGTTTCTCAACTCAACCAGGCCTTCCATGCTAATGATTTGATGCTGATTGCTCATTCTTCTACTTGGTGATGAGGATGATATGCTTGAGGAAGGAACAACCTTACAACTGATTACATGTTGTCCAGCAAGGCTGAATTCAAAGATGCCTCTTTCAAGTATGGCAGCAAGATCATAAAGGGCTTGAACTCCCCCACTTCGTGTTCTTTCTTCAAACATCTCAAGAAGGAGTGTAAAGTTCTTTTTGAGATTTGTCAATTGTACTAATTCGTCGCTGCCGATAGGAAGTTTCGTCAGCACACTATGGAACTGTGTGAAGCCAGTAAATGTCACAGAAGTAGCCTCTACGGAGCCATAAAGTAGCTCTGAGACAACGTCTCTAATAACAACCAAAGATTTCAAAGATTGGAGAACCTTAACAGAATCGGTGTAACTCTTGCACACCTCTAGCAAGTTATCAAATTCAAGGTTTGATTTGTAGTTAGCGAGCCAATCAATTATGGAAAATCCACTGTTGTCACTCAATAACTTCATGAATGACATTTGATTATCAGAAAAATTCTTGAAGAATTTGGCAAAAGACAACGAATCAAGACTTGTTCTTTGGTTTTCAAACATGGATAATGTTTGTTCTTCCCATAGGCTTTGGCTGTTCAAAATGGTTGCTTCTTTTTTGAGTTGGATGTAATCTAGATCCTTTTTCAAATCCACAGAAAAATAAGGCTCAAAATGTTCTACAAGAGCAATTAATGATGGTAAATATGATCTGTATAAATTAATGCTCTCATAGCTTCTAATGATATTGTGCCTTTTCGAAACCCATTCAAGATCTTCTCGAGAAGGCTTTCTGTCTGAAGCTTTTCCACTGAAGGTCATTCTCACTCTAAGCAACTCTTCTTCATAGAGACTGCTCGCTCCTGAAAAAATGTTGTCAAGCTTAGTGTCATATCTACATTTTCTTAGAATGTTGTAAAACTCGCTTAACTTCATGGAAAGGGTATCGAGAGAAGCATAATAGTCTGCCCATCTCTTTCTGACGGCGGGTATTAATTTGGTCTTGATGGAGTCGATGCTATGTTTTTCATCGTTGTTTTTTGAGTAGAGATCCCTCCATAGCACCAAAAAGAATTCTGATGTTCGAAGTTCGTAAAAGAAGGCCAAATCCTCAAAGCTGAATGGAATTAGATCTGATACTTGCTTTTGAACCTTTTTGAAAACCATTTCTGTCATATTTCTACGAATTTTGATAATAGTGTCGAGCACGGTATTTGTATCAAAGAAGTTAGGATCATCGGCAAACATGGTCAAGAAATTTTGAACCGCGTCTAGAGTTGTTTTAAATGAGACTAGCTCTTGTCGAAGCTGCTTTAGGTGGCCTTCGTTAAAACCAACATCTCCCATAACATAAATCAGCTTAACGAACTGAGCCTCGTGTTTTAGAACCATATTCAAAGTAGAAATGGTACATGTTTTGTCTAAAAGTTGAAAAACTAGTTTGAAATAAATATCCATCAAGTCCGATACTTCTTTCTCTATTTTTACATAATTTTCATCAGCGATCTTTTGACTGACCTTGGCAAATTTGAAATAATAATAGCACAATGGATTTTTCACAATGCTCTCATAACTGTGTTGGATGTTGGCTGCAAATAGTAAGGTCTTGAGATAGACATAGCGTACTGTTGCATCCTCAATTTTTGATTCGATGAGCTCAAAAAGAAGGCTGGCGTCTTTGCTTGTTGCCGTTTGAGATATTAGTTGACAACATTTGTCAATGATATAGGATCTCAACTTGTTGGAAAACTGACTACCACTGAATTTACCCATGTGCTCTATAAAGTCGAAAGAAGTTAAGGAAACGAAAAATGGTGTCAACATTAGCTCATCAAGCAATACATGAGAGTATTCGTTCAAAAAGTTTAACCTTACAAGTCTATCCAAAAATCTCATGAATTTCTCAAGAGAAATGGTATTTTGTTGGCTCTGAAGTAGAGAAAGGAGTGATGTTGAAGATCTTCTTGCTTGATTCGAAGAAGAAGTTCCTGGAGATTGAAAATCCAATACTATTCTCAAGTTGTGTGTGAATACATGAATGAGCCATTTCTTTGTTCCATCAAACAACCTAAAGTACCCTTGTACTGAGTTGTTGAAGGAAATGTTCATTTTGGATTGAATATTCTCTAAAAGTGTGACCATATTTTCCAAATCTTTTTCCGAATTAATATCTGATAGAATAGGGGATTGAATCATGCTGTAGATAATGTCTTCATTGAGTAAGAAGTTGCAAATATCAAACACTGTATCCAATTCCTTCCTAGAATTACTGCTTGAGCTAACTCCAATGCTTTGCATTTGATATTTGTTATTCAATTCCTTGATTTTCCTCTTCAAGGATTGAAAAATGTTGGATCGGATCTTTGAAGAATTTTCATGATGTAGAAGAGATTGTTCTTTCAATTTTTTCAATGCAAACAGTAGAGATTGAAAACTTGGAGCGTTTGCAATGAAAAATTGTGCCTCAGATGTCAACTTCTTGTCTCTCTCATATTCTTCAAGAGTTTTTTCGAATATTTCATTCATATCATGCAATGTTGAACATTGAGAGTAGTCGATACTATTGCTACCATTACTGTTTGTTCTCTCTTGAGAAAACAATTCTTCATCTGTTGAGGAGTTAGATGAATCAGATGTGACATCGTCTTCATACTCCAGAACGGCTTTTGATTTAACCTTCGGTAAGGCCTTACTTGTTGGTGATGCATGAACTCCTGTACGTTCCTTGTTGACAGCAGCAAAGGTCTTATTCTCTAATGGAGATCCAGGTGATGTTGGAGGTGTTGACTGATTCTCACCTCTATTAGACTCGGCTCTAGCTTGGTTGTTAGTGTAAGGAGTTGCATTTTTGTTATTCGGAGACTGAATAATGGTGGTTGGAGTGATTGAGCCAATAATTCCACTTTGAAACTCCTCCAACGAGGTGCTTGTTGTGTTTGTTGAAATTGAACCATTTGTAGAAATCTCAATCTCTTCCTCGCTTGTTGTGTAAATGTATGGAATGTTGAGATCTAAGGTTGAATGAAATGGGCCTGATCTCATTGAGTTATTGCTATTAGTGGAGGAAAACATGAATGGAGGAAGATTATGTGTTGGCTGTTGGGTTGTAGTAACAGGAGTGGAAGTTTCTCCGTCAGATCCAATACCTCCTCCATAAATATGTCCAGGAAAATTATATTCCACGTTGTCACTATCAAGAAGATCTTCCATGGATTGTTCAATAGAGGTTAATAAATCGTTCGTAATCTCCAAAGTATTTTGCTCATGAGGGGAGCCTCCACCCGATTTTTGCTGCTTCATTTTGTGTTTCTTAACAACTGAGGGAGCAAGAGCAAATGTAGGAGACTCCACTGTAATGAACTCGTCCTCCTCCTCGTCATTGGAATCAACATCTGCAATAGAGTTCTTTTTTTTGTGTTGTAAATCATTGTTCAATGAAGGGTTTGCAGTATTGTTGTGAATATTGATTCCAATATTCGTTGTTGCATTTGGCGATAAAAGTGTGGACAAGGCTGACGATGTTGATCCACTTTTTCTTAGTTTTTTCTTTCGCTCTCCTGTTGGTGTGTTTGAAAGAGGGTTTGAGGCATTTGTCTGTAGTGCCAATGGCGGTGGTGGTGACACTTCCAATTTATTGTCCAAATTGGTGGCCACCATTGCATTGGACGAACTCTTTTGTTTGAGAGGTGTGAATTCGGAAGAGTACTCTTTCAATGAGGAAGGTTGTTGAGGAGGTTGTTGATGACCATTACTATTGAGATTATGAGAAAACTTGGAATAGAGAGAGCTTGAATCGTCAAGATCATCCTCTCTCAAAATTGCTCCACTACTGCTGTTCATGACATTCGCAATACTGTTGCTACTATTACTACTACTGGTACTACTATTGGTGACAATGGATGCATAGCTCAAACGAGACGAAATTGAAACATTTTGGGCCGAGGATGTGTTCAAGGTTGTTGTTGTTGTTGCACCTCTATTCGGAGCAATTACTCCACCATTACCAACAAAGGTGTTACTGGGAGGTTGAAAATTGAACATGTTGTTTCCAGAGGAAGAAGGTGTCTGAATGGGAGATGGAGGTGGCTTCCGAAGGGTGGTAGAAGTTGGTGTCGTCGGGAAATGCTGTTGAAAGTTTGATGTTGGAGTTGGTGGAGAGTGTTTTAGAACACCACCCCGCTTGCTTCCAGTGGCATTATTCGAAGAGATTGGAATGGATGGTCGGTTGTTGTTGAAATTATTGTTGAGCGGAGTGTGTTGTGAATGTTGATCAGACATTTCTCATGCAGGGGTTGTTGAAATCAAATTCAAACTGCAATCGCAGTGGTACTAGATGTGTGTGGCGAAAATTAATTGTTTCAAAATGATTGAATGACTCAGTCAAAATCGACTCGGTTGATCGGGTTGATGGATCCTATTCGGGGAAGAAATCAGAATGCGAATTGTGGTTATACTTTACAATTTGGTGCTATCGGAATAAACGATACGTTATGTAATGCTTCTATTTGACAATGGTATTATTTACAAGAAGTTTTTACAATGGTGATGAGTCAGTATTTACAAGTGGTTGATGATGATGGTGATGCCTCTTGCATCCAACGCCTCTTCTCTTGTGATGGAGCGCCAATGCTGTGTATTGATGGGTGCAAGAAGTTTTTTTCGTTTTAGGCAATTATAAAAATATGTTGTTACGTTGGAATGATTGATGCAAGGTGGTCCTCATCATGATGAGAGCAGACGGACTAAAGAGAAATGATTTTCAGCTCTGTCATGGTGTTTGAAAAGAGTGAATTCACATTTGACTCGATGATCATTTCAATGGAACCACACTCGCTCCCATTGTAAAATATAATGTTTTCGGTTGACAAGAATTTTTGAAAATTTGTTGAAAAAAAAATTCATCATTACCACACCTGTGCGAGCAACTTTACACATTGTTGTAGTGACCACTAATTGCCAAAATGTCGAACGTTGAAGCTGTCGAACAACTCGTTCAAGAACCAAAGGAAGAACTCAACTTGAACACTGCTATCAAGAGAGTCTTGAAGACTGCCTCTGCCAACAGAGCTGTTGCTCGTGGTTTGAGAGAAGTCTGCAGAACCTTGGCTAAGGATAAAGCCCAATTGTGTGTTCTTGCTGATGACTGTGATAAGGATCAATACAAGAAGCTCATCAAGGCTTTCTGTGCTTTCAAGAAGGTTGATTTGTTGGAAGTTCCATCCAAGAGACAATTGGGTGAATGGGTTGGTCTTGCCAAGTATGACAAGCAAATGAGAACTAGAAGAGTCCAAAAGTGTGCTGTTGCTGTCATTACTGATTTGAGTGGATTTGGTGAGGATCAAGAAGATGCTTTGAACTTTGTTTTGAAGCACCTCGGAAAATCCGAATAAATTATTTCCCACACAATTCTGCCTCCTAATAAAATCAAGAAAATACTTAAACAGTCAATTTAAAGTGTGCAAATTTGTTGAATTTCCCATAGATGAGAAAAACAAATCATTTACTGAGAAATGAGCAATCATTTTCACCTCGTGTTCCATGAAAAAGCCTGAACTAAGGGTTAAGGCTAAGGAACAATTTATTCATCGACAAACTTTGGTGGTCTCTTTTCGACGAATGCACTCATACCTTCCTTTTGGTCCTTGGTCGAGAAAGTGGACATAAAAAGTTTTCTCTCATAATCAAGACCCTCTTGCAAACTCATTTCGTGAGCCTTTTGAACGCATGCCTTGGCGAACTGAGCGATAGGTTGAGAGAAGGATGCAATCTTATCTGCAATCTTGATAGTTTCCTCGAGCAATTGATCACTTTTGACAATACGAGAAACCAAACCAGCCTTCTCTGCCTCTTCAGCTCCATACAATTCACCAGTCAAATTCCATTCCATAGCTTTGGCCTTTCCAATTGCTTTGGTGAGTCTTTGAGTACCACCAATACCAGGAATTGTACCGAGTTTAATTTCTGGTTGACCAAACTTGGCACTGTCTCCAGCAATAATGAAATCGCACATCATGGCCAATTCACAACCTCCACCCAAAGCATAACCATTCACAGCAGCAATGATTGGCTTTCTTGCTTTGGCAACCACTTCGAGCTCTCCAAAGAGATTCTCTTGATACACTTGCATGGAGGTCATTGTGCTCATTTCTTTAATATCAGCTCCAGCAGCAAAGGCCTTCTTACTTCCAGTGATGATCATGACACGGACCGATGAATCTTTCTCACACAAGGAAACCACTTGGGCTAATTCTTGAACGAGTTGTTTACATAAAGCATTCAATTGGCTTGGTCTATTGAGTGTAATAATAGCAACACCATTCTCTCTCTTTTCAAAGAGAATATTTTGCAAATTGGTTGGATAGGAAATTGTTGATGGTGATTGCAAGAAGGTACAAGTGGAGAAGGAACGATAAATTGATGAATTATTATGATAGGTAATGTTCAACATGGGATTCATCACTCCTCCCGAAATTTGAACATTCTTCTTCTCACTCAACACGAGGAGGCATGATGATGATGGGTTAAGCTTGGGGTTGCGAAGAGAGCGAATGGTACGACTTGCCGATCGAATCATTTTTTATTAGTGAATTCCGTTTAATATTTCGAATGTGGTGAAACTGATCGAAAAAATAACACGAGATTAGAGATACGTGAAACAACACATGATTATTATTGAATTCCATGTTCAAGTAAAAATTAATTTTGACCTATCGAATGGTAATGAATGCGTCTTGATATTTTGAATAATTATTGATGTTGAGGAGTGACCCTTTGATAAGCAATAGCTTCAATTTCAACAACACCTCCCTTTGGCAAAGCCTTCACAGCAAAAGTTGCACGTGCTGGCTTATTCTTGGAGAAGTAGCTTTCATAAATCTTATTCACCACTTCAAAGTGAGCCATATCGGTCAACAAGATGGTCGTCTTCAAGACACAATCCATTCCACTTCCAGCTCCCTCCAAAATAGCTTGCATATTCTTGAGAGCTTGATGGCATTGTCCTTCCAATCCTTCCACCAATGTACCACTGGTAGGATCAATTCCAAGTTGACCAGAAACGAAAATTAATCTTTCATTGAAGACTGTGCAGTGGCTGTAGGGTCCGATTGCCTTTCCTGCCTTCTCAGTGTTGAAGAGTTTGTGAGAATTGTTGGTTGGTGGATAGGTTGGAGTGAGAGTTTGGGAGAGAGAGGTCGAGAAGGAACGAGAGTTGTTGAGAAGGAGAGGAGCAACAACCTTGGTACTCTTTCTGGAGAGTTGAGAGAGGAGAGTTCGAGTTGAATTCTTGATCATGATGAAAATTTGAGAGAAACTGTAGAGCCGAGACAGATATTTGAAGAAAGTATGAATATTTTCATAATGATCATGGTGAGATGATCATCGTGGTGTTCAAAACGTTGTGGATCAATAATGATGGGTCATTGATGATGTTAGAGCTTCGTCCGAGAGGAGAAATGATACAAACCTTGTGTTGAGTATTTTTTTTTGTAAGCTTGAGCTCTTTTTGGGAGTCAACCCAATACACGAAATCAAAGGACAATTCTGATGCGTAAATCCTGTCCACTTGAACGTAAAAAGTTCTCAACAAGCTTCAATTGCATAAAGTGACCGATTATTTTCCAATCTTACAGGATTAAATACTATTTTCACAAACATGTGCATCATTTGAGGTTGGTTATCTTCAACTCTGTCTCAACTATTGGAATTTAATAATTTTTCTACTTGGTCGATGTGGCTAAATTTGACACATATTTCTGTACATAATCTGCCGTAAGTTTTAAATAATAATCTGGATCGTGAGGTAAATAGTCAAGATATTTCGCGGCTGCTCTAGAAAAGAGATCTTCTGTCTCTGGAATGTTTTTAGGAATGGCAAGCTCGATTTGAGTACCTTCATGCCACTCATTGTACGAAGTGATGGTAATAAAGCTTGGAAGTGGAGTCAAACTCAGAGCAGTGTTGAACATGTTTTCATAATACTTGCCGTCATTTCTAGGTTTGGTGTTGGCGGAATTCCATGGTCTAATTTTCTCATCAATGTATCCCTAATGATGAACATTGTTGAGGAGATGTCATTTTGATAAAACACCTAGTCAAAATATCAACAAAAACTTACAGGTGCGACCGAAGGAATAAATAGTAAATAGTTTGACGAGGCCCATTCATTAATTTCTTTCCAATTAGAGGATGTCGATCCTTCCGTGAAACGATCGGCAGCAAAATATGTATAAAATCCATCAAAATTCGATTCTTTCAATGTATTTCTCATTGCAGAATTAAGGTAGAGTCCTGTTGTAACATTTATATCACGGATATTCAATTCATCAAATCATTTTCACACGCAATATTATTACATTCATAGTAGAAATGCGAAAATTATTCCATTCCAAAAATTTCAGTCATCACTCACCTATAAATATAGCATCATATGGCGTATTTCTAAGTGTTTGTGACGATTCAGGTGACAAAATTTTTCTCCATTCCTCAGAAGAAAGTATATAAGAATCGTAAAAGTAAAAAAGCGGTTTTCCATTAAATTTGAAAAATGCAGATGATTTTCCATACGTGTCAATGACATACATAACATCTCTCTTAATACTTTCGGCACTTCGTTTAGCATAGGGCTCCATGTGAAAAATTACTTGCAAGCCCACCTCTTCTGCACATTTCATAATAAAAGGGGTAATTATTTCGGTATTTGAACCATTTTCATCAGCCTCCAAAACTCCCCACCAACTCAATACAATCACATGAACGTTTGCTTTTCGAATTTCCTTGAATTGTTCGAGAACAGTTTCTCGATCAGTGCTCGAATAGGCGCCTCGTGAAGGAAAAAAGTTTGTTGCCAATTCCATCTTTCTCGGATCGTGGGGTTTTCCAATTAAATGATTGTATTGATCATTGGTATGTTTCGTCCAATGTGGCAATACTTTATGATTCCAATGTTCATACTTTCCATCAATTTTTTCATTCCGATACCATGCATAATAGAAGATGTGGGCATATGGATGGAATGGATATATTGTTTCTGTGTTTGGTTGTGTGACAACATCTCTCACAGTATTTTGATTAAATGTTTTGTCTCTTTCATTGTTTGTTTTCGTTTGCTGAATTTTGTTGGCATTGTTCCTTTCATCATTCAAAATTTCTTCATGTTGTTCCATCTTGTGCTTTTCAGTGTTTTCGAATTGACTCTTTGTGAGAGGTGGTGATCTTCTCCGAATAGTAGAAAGTAATGAATGTTGATACAAGGCAAATGAAATAAATAAAATAATGAAACAAATAATAGCAACAATCCACAAAAATCTGCTTCGATTCCGAGACAAGTGAATAATTTCAGAAAGTGATCCCATTCATCAACACACACACGGTTCAGAATGGAGAGGTGATACAATGAGAATGAAAATATTTTTTTGAAATAATATTTTCGATCTGTTGATTTTCTTCCTTTTAATGAAGAAAAGATAACCTCCCGACGATGCAGATAAGGTTGTTCAAATTGGTTTTCTCAGCTGCAATTAATATTAAAAGGTAAATCACATAAAGGGTTTGTTCAGGAGCTGCAATTATTATTTTCTTTTAAAAAATGTTGCACTCAGGCCCGCCCTTAAATCCCTCACATCATCATCACCCTTCCATTCAACCACAGCCTTCTTCCTCACAATCTCAAACGCAACAACCACCACCCTCTCTGACAACGATACCTCCCATGACATATCAGCAAATGTTCGAGTTGTATCATTATTTGAATGCTCAACTCTCAAATCCGAGCGCGCTATCTTTCAATCCCAGTAGTAATAACAATAATCATCTTCATACGAGTCCATTTCTTTCATCGACCTTAATACATGCTCCTTCTGTTCCATCTCAAGCTTTCCTATCTAGCGGGGCCTCCTCGATGACTCCCCAGTCTTCCCTTCCCGACAACCCGATGCCCCAACCAACATCCAACAGTTTCCAAATGCACCCTCACTTCCAACCAGCCATATCTGATGATACCATTGCACTCTACCAAGATATTGATCATTTGTATCAAGAAATGGAGGGTCTTATTAACTTTAAAAACAAACAAAAAGAAATTAACAAAGCCATTGAAACGATTATAAAAGAAAAATTTACCCAACAAAAGAAGGCGGAATTGGAAAAGAAACTGAAAAAAGAATTACTGAAGAGGTACAAAAATCCAACAAGAAAACAACATGAAGCGGCAGCAAAAATTCAGAGATGGTTTCGTGAAATAGCCTCACGAAATAAGGATAAACTCATCCGATCATTAAGATGTGAGATTGAGAGTCTCAAATATCAACTTCAAATGATTCGGGTGGAACAACAAACATGCATTCAGCTAGTACGATTACTGTTTGAGCAGGTACAGTTTCTTTCTTTGGAAGATAGATGTTAGGGTGTTTAAATGAAGCATCCATTCGTTTCATGTTTACTGTTGATTTAAAACTGGCATCAACTCTAACAAGGACAACCCAAGCGCATCAGTTACTCATTCATGGAAATGTGGAACAACCATTCCTACATATCGCAGACACTTTTTACAAACCTTACTTGGAAAGGATTGAGAAAATTAAATACGTTTGTGAAAATAAAAGAAGCAAATAAGTTTGGATTCGAATTCAAACGAGCTCATTGAGCTCAATGAGCTTGCTAATTCCATAAAAAAATGGAAAGAAATTTTAGGGGAGGATCGTCAGTCAGACTATCTTCAGTTCAAACTCCTTTCGAGAAGGTATAAGCAAGAAAAAACTTTCAAAGCCTCTTCCTTTTAATACCATCGAAAACCTGCTAACTCAACCACCATTTCCTTGACATCATCATCATGTTTGGAAAATTCTTCGTTCCTTGATAGTGATGATATCTCATCCCATCGTCAACAACATCAACAAAATCTGAAAAGCAAATCAGACATGTACCGACACTTTGAACGCTACAATTTGGAATTGGTCATCAAATATATCAATGTCCATTCAGAATTTCCCAAGTCGTTTTAAAACCGTAAAAAAGTGCACTTCTTCCTTCTCGAGTTCTCCCTCCTGTTTTAATGACGGATGACGTATTGTGACAAGCTATGTTAAAAAATGCAGCAACGTTTTGACTTGATGCTTCTCCTCTTTGCCAGCAGTGGTGTTCTTTTATCATTCATTCTCATCCGAATGGACACCAACAGCAAACATGAAACGGATCCACTCATCACACGAGACCTCTCCTCCAATTCCGAACATTCCATTCTCTTCTTCATTCATATGTTTTTGAAGAGCGTCGGAATGAATCATGTCAAGTTTTTCCAATGGAGAGCATTGATGGAAATGAAACATTTCTACTTGATTAGTTTGGCCGTCCACTCCCTCACAGCAATATGTTGGGTTCTTCTCTTGTATTTCGGAGGCAAGAATTCGGGAGAAGGTAAATCAGATCTATCTGTCAACCAAAAGCAACAACAGAAAAAGAATCAAAAATCCACATCTTCGTCGTCATCCTTCAGCTGGGTTACCTTTGTATTGAATGCTATTCTCATATTGGGTTGTGTCTCCATGTTGTTCATTCTTTCTCTTGTCTATCTACCTCTCATTAAGAATGGAATTCAAATGCAGCATCACCATCAACAATGAGATTTCTATGAAATCAGAAACCAAGTCAACATTATGTTCCATCAGCAGATATATATCTATTCATACACTACACGCACATGATCTCTCGCAAATTGATGCTATCCAGCCTTTTATGATCACCTTCATCTACATTGTGATTTTTTCCAATTTTTGATTGTTTTGAAGGATGATCCTCTAGGAAGTTCTAAAATTTTCTCTTCAAATGTCAAATTTCTTTACACACATTGAATTGTACCATACAAAAGCTTATTGTTCCCAATAATGAAATGCAAAGTGAAAATAAATGAATTTTAATTCCAATTATGTCTTGTTTCAATTCATTAATTGCAACTCTCCGAGAAACAAAATATTACTATTGTCATTATTGAACAGCAACATATTCATATAAAACTTCTTCTTAATGAAACATAAGGATACTTGGTCGTTTGCATCACCTGTGGTTTTTTAATTTGAATGAAACAACTCAGGGCTCCCTTCGGACCAAAATCTTTCTCCACCCGATTCACAAATTCAACACAAAACGTTTCCAATAATTGATATTGTCTCGTGGTAGCCAATTCTGTTGATAAATTTCTCAAATCCACATAACTCAAAGTATCATTTACGGAATCGGAGAGGGCAGCCTTACTGATATCAAATTCCACTTCAATATCAATGAGAATATCCTGAGGTTCTATCCTCTCGTTTGGATTCACTCCGATAATGCAATTAATTCGATGTTCACAAACTCCAATGATTGCGATATTGGTCTTGGAAGAGGATGCGTTGGAATGAGCGTGAAAGGGGCCCTGAAAGAGAGACTGTTGTTGCATTTTTTTTAAAAGCAAAATTGAACGACTTTCACAATGTTGGATCTACTTTGATGGTCATGCTCTTATAAGCGTTACCCAAACTTTGTGTCAAAAGAAATTGCTGATGATAAGGAATTTGTGTTGAAAGCAATCAAACTCAATTTTCTTTCAGTTTTTTCATCTCGATATCGTTGTATTGATTATGCATCGGATAAGGAACTGATGTTGGAAGCAGTGGAGAACAATGGATATGCACTACATTACGCATGCAAAGAGTTACACAAAGATTCTGAACTTGAGATTGAAGCTGTCAAATGTAATGGTTATGTATTGGAGTACAGTAATGAATTGTATCGAGCAAGAATGCACTTTTGTTCTCATGATACTTATTTGAAAAGTAATAAATATTGACAATTTATCAACAACTCATATTCCAAATCTTCCAACTAGTGCAATCTGGTGAACAGAAAAGCAAGTAAGTCTGGTGGAAATTGTGAACCCAATGATGATCTTCGGAGATTGGAATCTTTATTGAGAAGGAAATTCTTATTGCAAAAAGAAGGAAAAAAGAAATGGCTCGAGAATAGAGAATTGAAATATGACAAATTCTTTCCTGTGGAGTTTATGAATGACAAGGAATTTATTTTGAATCACATCAAAAAGAATGGTTATGGATTGAAATTTGCATCCACTCAAGTACAAGAAGATCGAGATTTTGTGTTAATTGATGTAATCATCATCATAAATAAACAAACCTATTAATTGATAGTCCTTCCTTAAATGAACAAAAGAATTTTTTGATGGTTTACTCTTTCGAATGTCATCCAACATTGTTTGATTTCAACATTATTTTCTGTCTGAAAAACCTTTGCATGAATGTCAAACGAGATGTGATTTCATATGTGGTTTCATTAACTGATATTCCTTGTGAAAACGTGTGCATATACACCCAAATATTGTTTCCAGAAATTATAAAGTTCTTTTGATTTCCAACCTTTATCCCGTAATTTTTCACCTTTTAAGCTTTTGATTTTTTCTTTCATCAACCGAGATTCAGGAATGTGACATCCAAAATATTCATGTTCAAATCTCTGATTTTTCAAATATTTCAAAAACTTCAGAGCTTCATCGAATGAAATCTCTGTTGTTGGTTCTTGATTCAAACAGAGGGTGAAAATATTTCTCGAAATAACTCCCCACAATTTCACGCTTTCAACTGCCATTTCATAACAAAAATGATCGTTAAATTGTTCAACTTCTTCATAATTCAGGATTAAATCCAATCCCTCTGGATGAGCTTTTACAAATTCCATCATAAAACTTGCATCTTGTTTCAATTTTTTTGAGGCACGCCATAACACATCCCCAGGTTCTACATTGTGTCTTAATGCATTCAATAAAAATTCTCGATCGTTCCAAAAGTCATCAGGGAGATATTTCCAATAATATATTACCTTTTTAAGAGCATCTATCACTTCTTGATCCTTTCTTTCAACAAATAATAATATTATTGGAAGAACGTTGTCAATACCAATTTCATTGGCGAAACGCCAGGGTGGGAGATTTAAAATTGCCAACACTATCTCTTTGTTTTCACGATAATGTTGTGGAATGTCGTTAAACGAACAACGATTGTAATCATCATGTGCAGTAAGAGCAGCCAAAATAATTTCTTTGTCATTTCGAAATTCTTCAGCTACCACATAATTCCCACATCCCTCCTTCTTAAATAAGGTGTGTCCATTTCTTTTCATGAATGCCAAAACTATTTCTCGATCGTTTTGAAGTTCAGGATGAATGTCCAACTCCCATCTTATTTCCACATGTCTGAAACTTCTGTCCTTTTTTGTTGTTTTCACAATAACTTTCAATACGAAATTCCTGTCCTTTCTCAAATTCATTGGTCCGTATTTCAAAATGAGATGCAAATCTCGGCGTTTCAAGAAATATTCTTCATCGTCCTTCCATGCTGGATCATAATCCTTGTAAATTTTGGTCAATAGTTGTTCAACGATTTGATCATTTTCGAGGCAAGTTTTACGTAATTCAAGTAATGAACATGCAAACTCTCCTTGTTCATTGAGAGTGTGTTGATGATTGTGGTGTGCTTGATAATACTCATCTGGTAATTCAACAAGCATTTGAAGTACTGATTTCATCAGATCCTTGTTATGGCTAAAAGAAATTCTTGAATCTTTGAGAAATAAAAGTTGAAAAATCTTCATCTTTTCATCCATCGATATGTTCATTTCCCAAACCGATGGAGATATATATTCACATACTTCTGGAAAACAAGTTTGAAGTTGTTCCTCTTGAATTTTTCCACCAACAATGAAAATCTTTGACAAAGTAATTCGAAGTAATTCGAGAGCAAATTCTTTGTTCACGTCCAGATACGACAAAGAGTCAGGAGTTGACATAACAACATCCAAACAGAAGTTTCGATCATTTTTCAATCGTTCAGATGCATATTGAATGTTGTTATGTCGGCATTGAGTCACATATTTCATAAAATCTTCATTGTCTCTCAGTCTTTCTGAAATTTGAAACATCTTACAACGCTTCTCATTAATTGCTTTCTTTGCTTTGCCAATGTCATCAAGATCAAATACAAAATCAAGTCGACAGCTTTTTTGAAATAAATCTGCCATCTTTTCTTTCCATTCTTTGAATTGTATAAAAACCTCCACCGGAATGTATTTCAAGATTTCAACTCGGCCCGAGTGTAATTTATGCCAAACTTCTTCCTGAAAAGGTTCCCAAAATTCCACAGAATGAATTAGCTCCTGATTAGTTTCATATAACTCTCTAATGTGAATAATTTGCACCATCATTAACTCGGACCAATCCTTATTGACATAATTATTGGAACCTCTTGCCCATTTAAGCACACACTCGTAATCGTTTACGAATTCGACTTTCATTGAAGATCTGTCACAATACCAATTCAATGTGGTCAAAAATTCCTCCCTTGCGAGTAACCATTTTGCGAATCCTTTGGATTGATTTTCAAATTTTCTTTTCAACACATCACAGAGATGGTTGATGTGAGAATTGTCCATCAGAGAGTGTCCTTGTTGTTGATTCATCAACCATGATGATGAAGGAGAAACAAGAGATTGATGAAAATCAATTAAAATAATTTTCACTTGATCCGTGATGAGATTGGATAATTTCAAGTGTTTGTTTGTGGGAGTTTTTACCATTTGATAGTACCATTCCTTATCCCCCAGCTTTGACTGATTGGCTAAATGAAATATATCTCTCATTCGCTGATTTTGTTGGCAGTTGTTACAAAAACGCCACTTGGAACAGTTCAACTGTACTCAAGAAGGCTAGAGGATATATAATTAAACCCAGGAACCTTGATAGAAGCGCTGCTTCCTACGACACCAAGAGAAGAACATCTAGGTTGTGATTCTACTTGTAAAGTTGTGACCTCTGACTAGGATCCCAACTGGATACGGATCTTGATGATGATGGATCATTCATTCATGCATGGAGGTGGCAGTGATGATGATATGAATGAGATTGATTATGAAAAAAACAAGAAACAAAAATTAACTCAAACACAGAACATGATGATGAGAAATGATAATGAACACGTAAAAATGATGATTCTTGATTTTTCAAATTCATGCTCTTCTTCTTTTGGTGGAAATTGTGAGAATTATCTTGGAGATTGGAATTACTACTGAAAAAGAAATTCTCAATTCAACACATAGCAAGATTATCATCCCTCGAGTTGCAGGAGGAATTTGTTCGTTGTCTGTTGGTGGAACAGTGAACTTGAAGCTTCAATTTCAAGATTTTTCTTTGCCAGCGTTAAGCCAGCTCTCTACAGAAATTTTTTTTTTTTGCAGGATATATGACATGGGTTGTGTCCTCGAAGCCCGGAGTGCACTTTTTCGCTGGCTGTCTTGCTATGAGAAGGAAAAAAGAAATATCTCGAAAATAAATGTTCTCTTGAAAATTCTTCTCGAGAACTTTTAAATGACAAACAATTCTTATTAGAAGCTGTGAAGTGGATATTTTGGATACAAAAGCATTCTCAATCATGTGCCAAAAGAAATTGCTAAGGACAAGGAAATCATGTTAGAAGTAGTGAAGAACAATGGATATGCACTGCATTACGAGAATTGAAGAAAGATCAAGAACTTGTGTTGGAAGCTGCCAAATGCAATCAATGGTTATGCATTGGAGTACAGTAATGAATTGTATCGAGGGTTATGTATTGGAGTACAGTAATGAATTGTATCGAGCAAGAATGCACTTTTGTTATCATGATGCTTATTTGGGCAAACTCGGTCGATCATCCTTGGAACACGGCTACACGATGTTATTGAAATAAATCATATTCAAAACGCCCTTAATTTTTGAGACGCGTCTTCATGTACTACATTATTCACTCCACACTTTACATTCATTGATGATTAAGGATAGTATTGATCTGTACTTGGCAAGGAAAGTGTGTTCGAAGCAAACAATAAGTGTTTCGATTCATCAAAAGAGTTGCGTTTAATATAATTTCTCCTTAGAGATTTCATCCAAATACATATCAATTAAGCTGATCCATTCTCTTAATTCTTTGTGGTGTCTACAAGTTGGATAGATACTCTTCTTCCCACCACTAAAATATGATTTCATTGTTATTAAAATTCAATAAAAGATTGAGAGGTGACATTATATAGGCAAATATTCCAGCGACATCGAGTGCAATATTACCCATTATTTACATCACTCTTTGAGTTCTGTATCAGATTTTTGAATTTTTCAGCTGTATTCTCCTTGGTATGAGATGGAAGCATTCGCAATTATCTTTGTGAAAAAATCCTTGTCAATATTTAATGATTACTTCCCAAATAAGCCATGATAAGAATGTAGCATTCTTGTTTGATATAATTCATCACTGTACTCCAACACATATCCATTGCATTTAAGAGCTTCCATCACAAGTTCAGAATCTTTTTGTAACTCTTTGCATGTGTAATGTAATGCATATCCATTATTCTTCACTGCTTTCAATATAATTTCCTTATCATCAGCAATTTCTATTGTCACATAGCGGGTAATAGAAGGTTCTCCACACTTCAACACTTCTAATAAGAATTGTTTGTCATTTAAAAGTTCTCGAGAAGCATTTTCCAGAGAACCTCCATGTCTGATTGCTTCCAAAACAACTTCTCGATCACTTTTCATCTCGTCACTTGCAAACCTGAGAGCATTACCAAAATGTCTGACAGCTGCCAACACAACATCTCTATCATTTTTCATTTCATCCGACGCAAAGCAAAGGGCTTTATCATTTTGTCTAACAGCTGTCGATACAACCTCTTTGTCATTCTTCAATTCATTAGATGCAAAAAGAAAAGCAATATAAAGCTGTTTGACAGCGGTCAACACGACTTCTTTGTCATTCTTCAATTCTTCTGATGCAAACGTAAGAGCATAACCATTCTGTCTAACAGCATTCAATACAAGTTGTTTGTCTCTTTTCAATTCATCAGAGACATATTTCAATGCATAACCATCCGTATTAGCTGCCTTAAATGCAAATACTCGATTATTCTTCACATCATCAGATCCATGACTGAAGGAGTGGATACTATTTTTGACTGCATTAAACACAATATCTCGATCATTCTTGAGTTCATCACTTGCAAATTCAAGTAACATTCCATTTTCTTGAACAAGTTTCATCATGATTTCTTTTTGTGAATAGTCAACACAATTCAAATATTCAAATTCTGGAGAAATTAACTTGAGAGCTGTCAACATGAATTCACAATCTGACAGCAATACTTTTGGAACGTATTGAAATGCCTTCCTATTTTGTTTGATTGCTTCCATCACAATTTCCTTGTCTTTTTTCAAATCGCTCTCAGCATACTGCAATGCTTCACCATTTTGTTTGACAGCAGCTAAAACAATTTCTCTGTTGATTATAATGTATGACAGCGCATAAGATAACACCAATCCATTCTGTTGAGCCATCTCCAAAGCAAATTCGTCGTCTCTTTTAATTTCTAGAGGAACAAATCTCCATACTTTTTCACTGTTTTTTACAGCTGCCAATATCACTTCTTTATCTTTTCGAATGTTATCACTTGAAAATTGTAATCTTCTGTGAAACAAGATGACAAAGATTTCCACTTCAGCTTAATTTGACCAAATGGACTCTCCACTCTCTTAGTGATTTTAGCAACTTATTTCTGCCACCGCGTGGGATCAGGCTCCTGATTCTGCCGGGCCCTCTATATTATACATGGCTATCCAGTTGAACAGCCAATAACACAATCTCTCGATCATTCCTCAAATCATCAGAAGCAAAACAGGGTGAACAGTATTCATTTTTGACTGCATTCAAAACAATGTCTCGATTATTCTGAAGTTCATCATTTGCAAATTAAATCAGCCACCCGTCTTCTTGAACAAGTTTCATCATGACTTCTTTTTGTGAATAATCAAAAGTATCTAAATGCGAAAATTTTGGAAATATTGTTTTGGCAACTCATAATATGAATTCACAATCATTACGTACGAATTGAAGTGCATTCTTATTTTGTTTCATTGCTTCAAATAAAAATTCCTTGACAAATTTCAAATTACTAAAGTACAGCGATTGAATGTTTTGCTTGAAAGCAGCCAAAACAATGTCTCTATCTTGCCTTAAATTATAAAGAACATGTCTCAAATCCAAAACAAAAAGAAGACAGAATCAAAAAATCAAGAATTATCAATTTTACATTTTCGTCATCATTTCTTTGTGTTAATAATTCATGTTTTTTGATTTTTTATAACCATCAGTCCGATGGAGGAGCGTTGAATGAATATAATTGTGATCTCGTTTCGACATTTTTCTCTGAAAGCGCTTTCATTACTGCGTTGCTTTTCTTCATTTTCCATATTAGAACCTTATGAAAAAAAATGAAAATTATTTTAAAAAAAAGATTAAATAATTTCGTCTTGTTTTGATTGTCTCTCAGTATTAAAACCAGCATCTGATGGAGCTTAAAGTGGCAACCATTGAAAAAGAAGAAAACTCTAATTTCATTCTCGGGCACTCTCACTTCATCAAGACTGTAGAAGATCTTCATGAAGCCATTGTGAACACCAACCCAAATATGAAATTCGGAATTGCTTTCAATGAAGCCTCTGGTCCTTGTCTGATCCGACATTCGGGAAATGATGAAAAGTTAATTCAACTGGCGATCAAAAACGCGACCAATCTCTCAGCAGGACACACATTCATTATTTTCATGGAGAATGGATTTCCAGTGAATATTCTGAACACGATCAAACAGGTTCCGGAAGTGTGTCGGGTGTACTGTGCCACAGCCAACCCAACACAAGTGATTTTGGCAGAGACTAACCAAGGGAGAGGAATCCTTGGAGTGGTGGATGGATTTTCTTCGAAGGGAGTGGAGAATGAAGAACAACAGGGAGAACGAAAATCATTCTTGAGGAAGATTGGATACAAGTTTTGAGAATGGTGATGATGAGACTTTGTAAGTGCAGGATGGATCGGTTGAAAATCGTGAATTGAAATATAACTTCTCTTGTTTCAGGAAGTGATTTGTTAAATAAATGATCGTGCGAACTGTGAAAGTAAGTGGAAGAAAGAGATGTTCCACACTGAAAGTCATTGCATCCATTGGCTACATTTGGCAAATAATTTTCATTCTGATAAACTGAGACACTTTAAGGAGATTCCGATCCAGTTTTGTCCTTTGAGAATGCATTAAGGATGATAAAACCACACCACTTTCTTTGTCTCACAAGTGTTCCTGAACGGCTTTGTGACTTAAATTGAAATTTGTATCTCAAAAAAGTAAAATCAGACCACCATACAAAACAAAAGACAGATGATAATTAATCGTCCCTCCATACAAAACGACTTTTGTAAAAAACTCAAATGTACTCCAATCATCCTTTTTTGTGTTGGTAATTTCAATAGGACCTTGCTGTTGACTTAAATCATTTCACCTCAAATAAGAGACAAAGACAGTGGATCCATATGAACCTCACACAGACTCAGAGATATCATGTATTTGGAGAAGGGTCAATAATTTAGATAGAGACATGTGATGAATGACCATTTTGGAGATTCTTTAATGAAATCACAAGTACATCATTTTCGTTCATAACAAGTCATGACAAGAGAAAATTCGTAATCATGAAATGAGTTGTTGAAATGAACGCACTGATAAATATTACAAGTTTCTGAATTTGCATAAATGTTCAAATCGATAAAAACGAGAAGAAGGAGTTCTCTCTCAAAGAACCACACCTCAAAAAAAACAAACTTGCTGGGATTCTCCACAACTTGAGTCGACATTTCAATAGCACCCAATAATAATAACAATTTCAAATAGCGGTTGCATATTCGTGTAGTAATTATTACAACAACGTCGTTCAGCTGATTGATCGATCATCAAACCATTCTCTCTCTCCTCTTCATCTCCAATACCCTTCATCGAACCAACCTGGAGATCCTATTGGGAGGAATTAATATTAATTATCTCTTCTCGTTGCCAACTCACTTCATCGAGTGTTCATTGTTTCTCTCCTTGATTTCTATTTGAAAGTAGAAAAAAAACAAAATTCTCAGTATTTGCTATTTTTACAATCAACCACCTCTCAAAAACAAAACCTTTGACCATGTCAGCCTCATCCTCCCTCTACACCCAACAACGACCTTCCTCTGCCGATAGTAGTGGTGCCATCAGCAATAATAATGGTAGTAGTAGTAATAACGGCTTCCTCCATCGACGTGAAGTGAGGAGTAGCAGTTTGTACTCCCAACTCCAAGACTCGAGTAGAACGAGAAGTAAATCATCCCCAGCTACATTGATCAATAGTAAGAATAATTCCGATGATGTATTCTCGTACAATAAGGAACAGCATAAAACACCCATGGTCATGTCTGATTTGATTTCTTTCATGACTGATCGTAATAAGGAAATTGATTATCCAACACAATTTCTCATGAACAAGATGAAGAAGCGTGTGCAAGAAGGAGGCCTTTCTCCTCGTTTCACCACCCGTAGTCAAAGCGTGGTCATGATGATGAAGAATGGCCATCATGAAAGTAGTACCACTCACTCGAATCCTGGAGCAACCACTATGAACGACCTCGAAGTCTCGATAAGTCAAAAGTGTCCATTGGGTCCCACCTCACGATGAGAATCATCAGATTCAATTCCGGCTGTACTTTTTAAAACAATTCTCTCCTTTTCTAACTTGTTGGCTAACTGATTCAATGAATGTATATAAAAACCAATTCATCATCCAATAAAACACATTTATTACGATCAATTCGAGTGTTCAAATTTCTCTGTTCGAGCCAAAAGGGGCGAGAGCTTTCAAGTTGCACTCGATTTTTGTATGTCTTGTTGTGCGGCTCCAGGTCACACAAACCAGCAAACAACAAAATCACAATAAAATATTCAAAAAAAAAGCTTCAAATGATTCAGCGGTTTTTATTTGCTGTGATGAACGACTACATTTGCTTCTCGGATGAAGTGCCAGCAATAGGTTTACTCTTCCCTTGCTTGATATGATAAATACAATCAACATTACACTTATCGCAACACTTTTTACACATTTTGTATTTACATTTACCTGACACTTTCACCAGATGACAACCAGGATTTGTTTAAAAATAATAATATTTTACTACTGAACAAAATAGCCTATTATCTTGATGAATTAAAAGAGATCCCGAGAGACCCCATGGAATCCAATACTTGAGAGCATTTACAGCATTGTGCTGTTGTTTTTAGTGTTTGAGTAACCTGCCATTACCTGCCATCCATACTCAAAGTTTGTGAAATTACCAGGTAAACTCAATCAGTCTCAAAAAAAAATTGACAAGTTCTAGTAGTGCTTTATTATCTTGATGAATACTAAGAGAAACCGTGAGATCCCATGGAATCCAATACTTGAGAGCATTTACAGCATTGTGCTGTTGTTTTTAGTGTTTGAATAACCAGCCATTACCTGCCATCCATACTCAAAGTTTGTGAAATTATCAGGTAATTGAAATCAAAATCAAAAAAAATTAAAAGATTCTCTCAATAAATTCCGAATCTTTTGACATACGGGTATCGAGAAAGACAAGAGAAAAAATATGGCCATCTCACAATTCTTCATCTTGTCCCTACGAGGAGACAAAATCATTGCTCGTGATTGTACGTGTTTCTTGATGATTCTGTACCCATTAATTATCAGTTAACAATCAATACCAATGGATCCTTCTTTACTTCCATGACTTGATGCATCCAAATATTATCCTTAGACCGCTATGATATTGTTAAGGGTTCGGAAGAAATTTTCTTCAGAAAGATGAAATCACTCTCAAGTGATGGATGTCCGGTTTTTGTAAGTACAACACAACTTTCTTTTACCTCGTATAAACATGCCTCATCCTTAGGAAGTACAAGGTATTCAATTCATATCCATAAAGAAGAGTAGCATGTATTTTGTGTTCACCTCCCGATGCAATGTTTCGCCGGCCACCTACGTCCAATGCTTAATTCGAATTGCGAATCTCATACGAGACTTTTGTGGTGTGTTGACTGAGGAGAGCGTTCGACAGAATTTCATTCTCGTCTATGAGATTTTGGATGAAATTATTGATAATGGTTACATTGAAGATTGCAGCACAAAAATTATGAAAACCTTCATTGCGAATGAACCCGTTGAAGTCTTGACGCCATCCTCTTCCTTACTTTCTTCTTTGGGAAATGCATTTTCGGTAAGTACACGTGTTTTTTGTTGATTTGCAATAATTCATCTCTATCTTGCCAATCATTTCCTTTTCATGTTTACAATCCACTTCACATGTTATCATCCACGTGTTCCTCTCGTTCATGCATTCGGGGTGCTTTTTTTCTGGAATGTTTGTCACACCTAGTTCACAGAACCACGAACGACAACCTGCCAAGCAGCAAGAAGACCCATTCAAGGAGGCAATGTTAAAAAGAGTGAAGTCTTTGTTGACGTGTTAGAAAAGATTAATGTAACTTTTTCGGAATCGGGCCAAATACTCCTCTCTGAAGTCGTTGGTTGCATCACAATGAAATCATTCATTCCAGGAGATCCACTCATCAAAATTGGTCTTTCAGAGAATATTGTGATTTCATCAGAGACCAGCCGAATCTATGGAAGTGTCACGTTGGATCATGTTGCTTTCAGTCATTATGTCGATTTGAACGAGTGGGAAGCATCAAGGGTGTTGTCGTTGAATCCACCCGATGGAGAGTTCAATATTATGGAGTACAGGTCGACCAAAGAATACAGTGTACCTTTCAGAATCAACCCATACTTCTCAAGAGAATCTCAATTTAAGGTTAAGCTACTGGTGACTTTGAGAAATGAGTTGCCAGCATCCAAAGTGGCTACCAATGTCATTGTCCGAATTCCTGTTCCAAAAGACTCTGCCACTGTGAGTGTGGAGTGTGGAGGAGGGCAACAACACGGTTACGAATACAACTCTGCTGAGCAAGTTGTGCTATGGGGTATCAAGAAATTCCCTGGTGCTTTGGAACAAGTCATTAAGGTCACCATTGTGACCAATAATCCTATTACGTACGACTTGTCACCTCAAATGGGTCCTGTTAGCATGAAATTTGAAATTCCCATGCACAGCTGTACAGGACTCGAAGTGAAATACCTCAAAGTGTTGACACCATCATTAATAGCAAGTCCAAAGAAAGGCAACGAACGTAAGTAGCTGTTATGATTTGATTCGTGTTGACGACAATTTTCAATTACGAACACAAACAAAATGTATCGTTGAAACCTTGATTAGCCTCTCGATGGGTACGTTGCATTACACAAGGTAATAGTTACATTTGTAGAGTCAATTGTGATTGAGATATGAGCCGTTAAATGTGCGTACGTCATCCTTATTCCAGAATGAATAAAACACGATAACAAAAAAATGTTTGTCCTCTTGTTCTTCCTCTACGCCTATGCCTCTGTGGCTGGTCTCATTCTGTACACGTTACTCATGGGTCCGACAGATTTCCACAAGAATGGACTCATTGGTAAATTTTACAGATTTCTGGTGAGCGTTCCGAAGCGACTTTGTACTTGTTGTTGTGGAAGTGATTTTTTGAGAAGAGCTGAAAAGTATTTCCTTCACTCTCGAAATCCAATCTTACAGGTGAGTTTTTTCATAGTCTTGATTTGCATTTACTTGAACTATTGTTTGATACTATTTATGTGCGATTAACCATTTCGGAACGATTCAAACCTCATCATGACGTGTTGAATAATTTTATAATTATTTCGAAAACACAAAATCTTTTTAAAATTCACGACTATTATTTAATTATTATTGATTTACCACTTTTATAATTATGTGCGATTATGCTTCCACAACAATTCATGACATCTATTATTCCCGACTACAATAATAGCTCGTTTACCTTTCTCTCCTCTCTATCAACGTTGTACTCTATCTTTTCACAGTTTTCAAAGCCATTCCTAATTTATACGTTCCAGCTTACCATCGTTATACTGGTTTTGTTGCTCTCGTATTGACCTATTTTTCCTTCCTGAAAGCTTCCTTTTCCGATCCTGGATTTATCAAAAAGACAAATGCCAAACAGTTCGAAAAATCATTTCCCTTCGATGAAGTCATGTACATTTCCGAACGAAAATGCACCACATGTGATATTATCCGACCTGCTCGTTCCAAACATTGTCCACTTTCTGGCAAATGTGTTGCAAAATTCGATCACTATTGTGGATGGTTGAATAATGATGTTGGTGAATTGAACTATCGATGGTTTCACTTGTTTTTAATTTCAAATTTCTTACTCATTGTTTATGCTGTTTATGTTTATGTCATGACATTGTGGAGTGTGGTGGATGAGGAAAATTTATGGAATGTTTCCTTCATGACAAGTACAGGAGAACGAGTGAATGCCAGTTTGTCCATTATTTTGCAGTACATGCTCGCTCGTTACATTATGGTTGTGGCTCAATTATTATTTATTGCTGCATGTGGATTGATGATTTTTGGATTTTGGGGATATCACTTTTATCTTGTGTGTACAAATACCACTACCAATGAAACATTTAAAAAGAAGGATTTGGAACAATTGTGGGATATTGTGACAAAATATGTCGAGACAAGAAAGAAAAAATCGAATATTGACGTACAAGCATTATATGATGAATTGTATAAGGAAGAAGAAGAGGCAAACGAAATGAAGAAGGAAGAACATCATGACGAAGAACACAAAAAGACTGAAGAAAAAAAGAAACAAGTTCGAAAGGAATGGAAAATGAAGTTACTCGAAAAGATGTGTGAAATGGCTCAACAAAATAAGAAGCTTAATTTGAGTTTTTACAATCGTGGAATTTGGAATAATATTAAGGAAGTTATATTTCCACCTGCACTTTATCACAAGCCAAAGTTTTTTGAAAAGTGAGTGAACGGACGATATTTAGATTCTTCTTTTAAATCTCTCAGCACAAAACAATAAACAAATTATTAAGACAAATTAACGGAAGGAATTCTGACTTTTTTAGCCACCACCCAGAATTCCAAATTCACAAAAAAATTGTCCACTCGAGATCACAAAATGCTTGACATTGAAAAGGAAATGGGTTTTGAAATTGTTCGACAGAATGGATTGGCTTTGTCACACGCACCATATCCACTCTGTAACGATAAAGAAATTGCATTAACTGCAGTCAGGCAAAATGGTGAAGCATATCAATTTATACGTGATGATTCGAAGTTTGATATGGAAATTTTGTTGAAAGCAATCAAACAAAATAGGAAGGCACTTCGATTCGTATCGAGAGATTTATTATTAGATTGTGAATTCATGCTAACAGTTATCAAATTCATATTTCCAGAATTTTATCATTTGAATTGTTTTGATTATTCACAAAAAGAAGTCATGATGAAACTTGTTCAACTAGATGGATTATTGCTTGACTTTGCAAGTAATGAATTCAAGAATGATCGAGATGTTGTTATAAATGAAGTCCAAAGTGATGGCTACTCACTTTAATATGCTTCTTCTATTTGAAGAGTGATCGCGATATTGTTTTGGAAGCAGTCTTCTGTCCGTAATGACGGCGAACCGCTTGTTTTCGCATCAGATCATCTCGAGAATGACAGAGAAATTGCTTTAACGGCTGTTCAACAGAAAGGACATTGTCTTCGATATGTTTCTGATGAATTGAAGAGAGACAAAGAACTTGTATTGAATGCTGTCCGTCAAAATGGATGTTGTCTTCAATATGCATCTGATGAATTGAAGAATGACAAGGAGGTAGTATTGACAGCTGTAAAACACCAATGTGTTAGACAAACCTGTTGCGCTCTCCAATATGCAGGTGAAATGATGAAACGTGATCAAGATGTTGTTTTAGAAGGGATTAAACGAAAGAGAAACACTTGCATTTGACTCATTGCAATACGTACCTAAAGATCTTTGGAATGACAAACAATTCTTATTGGAGGTTGTGAAGTATGCAAATTACAGCATTATCAACTATTTGCCAAAAGAATTTGAAAATGACAAAGAATTTCTATTGCAAGCAATAAAGCTCAACAGTCTTTCCCTTGTTGTACCTATAAAGGATGATCATTGTTATCAGAATTTTAGATTTCGTTTTCAAGAAAATGGTATTCAATGTGACAAGAAACTAATGATTGAGGCAGTGAAGAATAATGGATATGCCTTAAAATATGTAGCCAAAGAGTTAAAAAAGGATGAAGAACTTGTGATGGAAGCTCTTAAATGCAACGGTTTTGTCTTGAAGTATAGTGATGAATACTATTGAGCAAGAATGCACTATTGTTATCATGATGCGTATTTGGGAAATCAACATCATTAAATAATGACAAAGTGAAAAAATGCCAAAAAACGAAAACACGAATCGCAAGACTCGACCACAAGCACTACGACATGATCAATCATCATCATCACAACAACAACAACCAAAAACAAAGAAAAGAAAACTGCAGCAACAACTACAAACGCAGGAGGATCAATCCCGATATTCCAATGTTGCATCGAGTAGTAACAATGGTAGTAGTGCGAGGACAACCACTCCGAATGAAAATCCAAAACACAACAACCAAAAACGAGAGCATGTTCGAAAAAAGAAGAATTATGAACAACAGTTGTTGAGTCGGATGGAACGAGTGTTTGGTTCCAGTCAATCATCCTCTTTGTCATCCCCTCTTGTAAATAGAAACGATTTCAAGCCACATTCAAGAACTCAATCACAAACATCACCATCCTCTTCGAACGCAAGTTCTTCTTCCTCTTCCTCCGGATCGGCTACAAGTATTCCTGGTTTTTATTTTGACGAAATAGCAAATCGATATTTTCCAATCCCGAAAAATGGCTTGGAACGTTCTATTCTTGTGGGAAATTCTGTAGAGAGAATGAAGACATTGCAAGATCATGCAATGATGAAAGCAGAAAATTCAGCACAACAGCAACAGACATTGCCAACAAATTCCAAATCTAGAATTCGAAAGAATAATTATTTATTATTTAAAAATGATGCACAAAAAAGCATTCATCTTATTGCCAATGTAAATAAGAAATTGTTAATATCGTCAAATAGTCCTTGCATGTTGAGAGAAGAACCACACAACAAGAAATATTTAAGTACGGCCATGACGATCTTAAAAAGTCGATTGATGCATCCAACTGCAGATTCAAAATATTACTACAAGCATGTACACAATAGAATGAAATTTTTTGAGATGCGTGACAAATTTTCACCCTTGCATGAATGGTCATCAAGAAGAAATGATCATGCGCCATCTCAGAATAGTGTGACTTCATTTTCCTCGAATGTATCCAATGACCAACAAAGGATAACTCAACTTGAATGTGAATTTACTTCAGACATTCAACTATTTACAGTGAAACAGTTAGATTATAGCAAAATTCGCAATCATTCCACACTCCACTTCAACGATGAAGTTTGGATCTTTGCTTCAAATGCACAACGAGATTTATGCTTTTCAATAATCCATGGAAGGGGTGAAGAAAGATACTTGACCCCATTACTGAATCTCACTTCTCGAATCACAAACATTTCTCCTTTTACATCGACCCATAGAAATAATTATTCAACACAGGAATTCCAATTTCTAGTGTCATGTACGGGTCAAGCACAAGAGGCTGGATCTCTCACTAGATTTTCGATGCTCTATGAACAAGATATTCCAACACAACACTCGATGGAAAATGACCCATTTGGGAAATGGGAAATTTCGTACCAACAATTGTATAGCTGCAGAAAAAAGACTCTATTTTGGCACTCTGTCCATCCAAACTTGCGATGGTGTGCATTAGGTTTAAGTAAGGGAGGAGTGATTATTGATTTAGAACGAGCCTCAACAACGAGTGGTGAAAGCAAACAGTGTCACATTGGATATACCACGAATGACAGTTTTTCAGACGTGTTATTGACCTATTGGAACCCTTACGTGACGGAGAGAGGAGAATTACTGTATGCAAGACGAGATGGAACTGTTAGCTTAATGGATTGTCGAATGAAATCAAATAATCAGAATCGCCAGCTTCAAACTTGCAACATTGGAGAAATTCAATTTTCACAAGGATCATTCATTAGTGACGTGAAATGTGTGAATGAGTCTCAATTTATTGTGAAAAGCATTGAATCGTCCATTCAACATTCTTCTCATCATTACCAACCTCACTTTAAATTGTTTGATAAGAGGAAACTGTCACAAACTATTCTCAATTATGAACTAGGAACCTCACAAGAAGAGTCTCGTCTTGCCACAAATTCTATTAAGGAAGAACGAGAAAACAAAATGTTTCTATTCGATAACAACCAATACATGGTTTGTGGAGGAATTACAAACTCGGGAAGTGTGGTGAGAATTTGGGACGTGTATAAGGGAGGCAAACCTGAGATGACCATTTTTGGTTTGCCTCATCGAAATGTGAGCAACATGGCCGAATCTCCAAGCGGTTATGCAAATCCGTTCTTTTTGATGGGAATTCCTGATCTTGATCAATTATTACTTTTGAAACATTAAGGAAGCGATTTTTAATCTCACCCAAAGGTTATTTCATGGTCTAAACAATTCGGCCAAAGTGGTATGAATACGAGGCCGAGCCTTACAACTTTTCGAAAATGTGACACATTTTCCATATTCGTTCATTTTAACCACGAAAAATCTTGTTAGAGCTTCTAGCCTCAACTCTTCCCCATGAATTTTAGTGAACTTCTAAAGTCCTGTATACTAATCATCATTCTTTTCGCTATGTTTTTTTTTCAAAAAAGAGGCGAATGAGCAACAACATCACGATCAAAGAGCACAAATCTCTCAATCACCAGGACCATATTTCATTCATTTTTGATGGTCGTAATGGTGATCGTTGTGACTATGATTCATGTGAACATAATCTTCGAAGATTGGAATTATTAATGAAAAAGAGATTCTCCTTACAACAAGAAGGAAAAAAGAAATGGCTGGAGAATAGAGAATTGAAATATGAAAAGTTCTTTCCTGTGGAATTTATGAATGATAAGGACTTTGTGTTGAATCACATCAAAAAGTATGGTTATGGATTGAAATTTGCATCCAAACAATTGCAAGATGATCGAGAGTTTGTGTTTAAAGTGATACAATTGGAGCCAACGGAATTCCAATTCGCAAGTCAAAACATTCAACACGACAAAAAGGTATACCAACTGAATGGATTGGCTCTACAATACGCACCAAAGATAATCAAGAGAGACAGAAACATTGTTTTATCTGTTGTCAGGCAAAATGGTGAAGCACTGCAATGGGTCGACGACAAATTGAAATCAGATAAGGAAATCGTGATGGAAGCTTTCAAACAAAATAAGAAGGCTCTTCATCTCGTAGCCGTTAGTCATTTGCTCTACATGAAAAACTCTTTGCTGTTAGATCAAGAATTCATGTTGACAGTTGTCAAAGCATCATTTCCAGAATTTTCTCATTTAACTACTGTTGATTATTCAAAGAAAGCAATCATGAGGAAACTTGTTCAAGAATATGTATGGTTGCTTAAATTTGCAAGTGATGGAATTAAGAATGATCGAGACATTGTTTTAAGTGCAATCAAAAATTATAACGAATTACGGGATAAAGAGGTACCGTTCAAATTTGCATCTGCTCACTTGCAGAATGATCGAGAAATTGCGTTACTGGCTGTTGATCAAGATGGCTCTGCTTTGAAATATGTCTCTGAAAAATTGAGGAGAGACAAACAAGTTGTGCTAAAGGCTGTCAGTCAAAATGGATATTATTTTGATTACGTACCTGATGAATTGAAGAATGACAGGGACGTGGTATTGGCAGCTGTCACACAAGATGGTGATGCTCTTCGATTTGCATCGGATGAACTGAGGAACGACAGAGAAGTTGTATTGACATCTGTAAGACAAAAGGGAGACGCTCTTTGCTTTGCATCGTATGGAATGAAAAACGATAGAGAGGTTGTATTGACAGCTGTACAAACTAAGGGCAAGGCTCTCCGTTATGCAGGTGAAATGATGAAACGTGACAAAGAGATTGTTTTACAAGCTATCAAACAATCACTTGAGCCATTGGAATATGCATCTCAAGATCTTCTTAGTGACAAAGAATTCATGTTAGAAGTTGTGAAGTGTGTGTGGACATGAAGGCGTTTTCAACTATTTCCAAGATTTAAATTTTACAAAAGAATTAGTGTTACAAGCAATCAAACTCAACAGTCTTTCAATTGGATTCTATTCATCTGTTTGTTTTGAGTTACCTAACTTTAGTCTTAAATATATTCGAGAGGATAAGGAACTCATAATGGAAGCTGTGAAGAATAATGGTTATGCATTCCATTGTATATTGGCTGGAAAATTGCAACACGATCCAGAACTTGTGATGGAAGCTCTCAAATGCAATGGTTATGTGTTGGAGTATAGTGATGAATTATATCAAGCAAGAATGAAATATTGTTATCATGATGCTTATTTGGGCATGACAACAATGACTGATCATTGAAACAGTATCACATGATGTGATTATATTGGTTTGGACTCATCATTGAAGAAATATTCAACAAGGTTTGAAGCATCAAACTTTCTTGTTGGTCTGTGATGAGGGCAATTCAGGACCTTACAGAAATTTAATACTTAACCTTTCGTCACAAAACAGGAAACATCAAGATGTATCATTTACTTCATCGCAATCATGAGTGTGACATTTGTTTCATTGTCTTCATGATCATGCTATAAAGGTATCATCTCAGATTTTTGTTTAATTTTCAAGTGATCTTTTATCTTCTTGAATCCACATCAATTGTTTTTCTCTGCTTGAAAATGGAATTTCGGGTCTGTATCCTTTAAGTAACTATTGAGATCATTAATAGAAGGTTGAGAGAATTTAAGATTATCCTCAATAAATATTCCATATATTATTCTCACAAGAGGAATTTAGGGATCTGTGGTGCAGTAAAGATATTAGAATTGTTTGCTTATGTAATATTGCTTTTTCGGAAATATGTGCCGATGATAGCTCAGCTGGTAGAGCATGGGACTGTAGCAAGCAAGTCATCCTGTGGTCGGCGGTTCGATTCCGTCTCATCGGATGTTTTTAAGTTTAAAGACACAAGACAATTTTCCTCTCTCAACCAATTTACCAGAACGGATTCTCTCTCGTTCAGCACAGCAATTTCAAAGACTTATCACAACCTATCCAACAATAGAACATGCTAAATAAACTTTTTAATACCTTCAAAAAGCCAAATCATTAGAGAAAATGAAAAACTTTTCATCTGAGGTAGTTCAAACAGTAAATGAGGCTATGGATGTGGCTATTAAGGCAGCTATATTGTGATTGATCATCGATGGGAAACCAAGCAAGAATGCAACATTGAATAATAAAACTCTTTACTCAAAATTGAAGAAATCTCTCTCAATTTACTTCTTGTAGGTTGGCATGACAGTACCGAATGACATTCCTGATTCATCTTCACGCCAGTTGGACATGATGGTCTTTGTTTGAGTGTAGAATTGAACAGCAGCCTTACCATAGAAGTTCAAGTCTCCTCTAATAGAAGCACGTGAACCAGTGAATGAGAAGAATGGTGGTGGGACAGGAATTGGCAAATTGATACCAACTTGACCAGCATCAACTTCATATTGGAATTTACGAGCAGCTGGGCCAGATCTGGTAAAGATGGCAGTTCCGTTTCCGTATGGATTGGTGTTAATAATCTTGATGGCTTCATCCAAATCCTTGGCGAACATGATGAGCATGACAGGACCAAAGATTTCCTCAGTATAGCACTTCATGTTTGCCTTAACATCAGTAATGATGGTTGGTCCCACAAAGTTACCATGTTCATAGCCCTTCACAACAATTCCACGTCCATCCAAAACAACCTTAGCGCCCTCTTGTTCAGCAGAAGCAATCAAACCTTCAACACGAGTCTTGGATTGAGGCGAAATCAATGGACCGAGATCAGCGGATGGATCTGTACCAACATTGACCTTGTAGCCCTTAGCCTTGGCAACAATATCTGGAACCCAATCCTTAGCGTCACCAACCAAAATGGCAGTAGTCAAAGCCATGCAACGTTGACCAGCAGCACCAAAGGCAGCACCGCACAAAGCATTGATTGTATCTTCCTTTCTAGCATCTGGCAAAACAACGGCATGATTCTTGGCACCCAAGTTAGCTTGAACACGTTTTCCGTGTTTGGTACCCTCAGCAAAGATGTATTCACCAGCAGTGTTACCACCGACGAATGAGATGGCCTTGATATCTGGATGTCTGCAAATAAAGTCTACAGTTGGTTTCTTACCGTGAATAACGTTGACAACACCCTTTGGCAAACCAGCTTCGAGGGCCATTTCAACAATTCTGACACCGGCACTTGGGTCACGTTCGGATGGCTTCAAAACCATAGTGTTACCAGTGGCAACAGCCATTGGGAACATCCACAATGGAATCATGGCTCTGTTCATTGGAAATACAAATGGAGAGGTGGAAGGCCACACACACAAAAAGGCCACAGTTGGTGATGATCATTTCATTGGAACAGGTCGGTTCCATCACAATATCAAGTAAAAACAGTTATCGTTTAAAAGATGACGACCATCAAGTGGAATGCATTTCGAAAACATGTAAGTAAAATAGTACCACAATGTATTATACGTCATCATCATCAATAGACCATAGAGTCAAATGTCAATTTGCAATCGATTGTGAAACATCATATTATTGCAGTGATGGTTCGTGTTTTGCAAATAATGAAGGATCGTATGGAGTTGGAATCAAACAGAAAGAAAAGTGTTGTTGTGTGATAGGTCGATATCATCATCATGAGAGAAAATTTCACAATCATCAAAAATTATTTGACCGTTACGAATATCATTGCATCACGTCGTCAATGGTAGGTCATCATCATTGATCGCAAAATCATTTTACGTTTCATCATCATAACACATTTTCATCATTAGAACAACTTCTCTAATATTATTCGCAATAACAAAACTTACGGGAAGTTGAATGGACAAATACCAGCAGTAACACCCAATGGTTGTTTGTAGCTGTAAATATCAATATGTTTGGCAATATTCTCAGTAGTATCACCCATTTGGAGAACAGCCATATTACAGGCATGCTCAACAACTTCAATACCACGGAAAACATCTCCTTCGGCATCTTTGAGAGTTTTACCTTGTTCTTGGGTAACCAACTTGGCAAGTTCAGGAGTTTTATCTTCCAACATTTGTCTGAGTTTATACAAGACACGGACACGTCTAGAAACGCTCCATTCTCTCCATTCCTTGAAGGCATCCTTTGAGTTTTGAACAGCCTCAGCCATCTCAGCATCAGTGGATTGCGGAACCATGGCGATCACTTCATTGGTTGCAGGATTATGAATTTCAATCCATTCGTTGCTCTTGGAGATACGTCTTTCACCATTGATGATCATTGGAACCTTTTCAACGGATTGTGTGTTCAACTTGGTGGAGAAGGCTCTCTTTTGAAGAGAGGAGGAAGAAGAGGCAACCTTCTGGATGAGGAGCGGAGTATTGATCTTCTTGAACATTTTTGTTGTTGAGAAGAGAGAGAGCTGTTTGAAATTTTTTTTTGCAAAATTTGAAAACCAAATTGAACCGAATGTTACAAAATGGAACACGACCAGTGATGGTGCTTCATCTTTCAATAGGCGAATTGATGATGGTATCAATCTAGGAGAGAGAGCGGAGAAATGGTGCCATGTTTTCATTGTCTTCCAAATAGGCATGCCAATACGAGTGTTCAATAAGATAATTTGCAACTCAAAATCTTGTAAAAAATGACGAGACATCATGAGCTCGTTTGGATAATTCTCGTTGATTTTTTAAATTCTTCTTCTTTCCGTCATGATGATGTTGATGATGAGAATTTGAACAATACCTCGGATCGTGATGAACTTATGAGATTGGAATATTTATTGAAAATGAAATTTTCATTGCAACAAGAAGGAAAGAAGAAGTGGTTATTGAACCGAGAATTACAATACAAAGATTTCTTTCCAATTGAGTTTATTAATGACAAGGAATTTGTTTTGAATCAAATCAAAATGAATGGTTATGGATTAAAATATGCATCATCAAAACTGAGAGGAGATCGAGAATTTGTATTGCAAGTGATTCAATGGAATAGTTTTGAGTTAGAAAATGCTAATGCCGAGATTCAGATTGATCAAGAACTGGCCTTGGAAGCTATTAAGCAAAAAGAATATTCATTGGAAATGGCTTCGTTTGCACTTTGGAAAGACAAGAAATTTATGTTGGAAGCCATTCGATTGAATGAAAAATGTTTACGTTCTGTTCCCTATGCACTTCAGCAAGACAGAGAATTCATATTTTTCATATTTGAAGCAATTAAACAAAATAAGAACGCGCTTCGATGGGTACCATGTCATTTACGCTCAAATGAAGAATACATGTTAAAAGCTATCAAATTAATATTACCAGAATTCGAAAATTTAGTCTCTTTTGAACATGCAAACAAAGATATCATGATGAAACTTGTTCAAGAATTTGGATTTTTGTTGGAATTTTCTAGTGATGAGCTCAAGAATGATCGAGACATTGTTTTAGCTGCTGTTAGAAATGATGATTTGGCTTTTAATTATGCTTCTCATGAGTTGAAAAGTGATAGAGACATTGTATTTCAAGCAATCACAAAAGAACCCTTAACGTTGAAACACGTCCCAGTTGCATTGAAGAATGATAAAGAGTTGATATTGGCAGCTGTGAATCAAAATGGTTTTGCATTGGAATATGCTTCAGATGAGTTGAAAAATGATCGAGAGGTGATATTGGCAGCTGTTCGACAAAATGGTTTTGCCCTTGCATATGCAAGTGAAATGTTGAGAAGAGATCAAGAAATTGTATTCGAAGCGATCAAAAGAAACAATCGCGCTGTTAAATACGCTTCTGAAGAACTTTTTAATGACAAGGAGTTCTTATTGAAACTGGCCAAGCTTGGATGTAGAGATATGTGTTACTGTATATCAAACGAAATTGTTGAGGACAGAGAATTTGTGTTAAAAGTCACCAAACTCAATGCTCTTGCTTTTGTATTTTGATACGCCATTTAGTAATGACAGGAAAACCATGTTGGAAGCAGTGAAGAACAATGGATTTGCATTATATTATGCGAGTGATGAATTGAAAAAGGATCCTGAGTTGGTGATGGAAGCTCTCAAATGTAATGGATATGTTTTGGAGTTTAGTGAAAGATTGTTGCATGAAAGAATGGAACAATGTTATTTTGGTGCTTATTTGGGAAATTATCATTGTGTGACCACACATTCCTGTACAAACTGATGATGTTTGAGATAAATAATAATGATATTCAAATCACCAAATAAAGAACTACATTTACAATGAATAAAAACCTTCCTGAACATTTATTGTTGTGGTTATACATTCAGTGATCAAGAGAGGAAGCAAAAGAAACAACCTTCTGATGAGAAGCTCGGAGTGTTCTCAACAGTTAAAATTTTCACATGCAGGTAGGATTATTTTAAAATCGTGAAAAGTGTCAAACATGCCAAGTTCAGAATTTTCTCTCAAATTCACGTTTTAGCATATTCTTTAAATGGCAAATGAGAAAACATTGTCCAAGCCAACAAAAAAACATAAACAAAAAGCAAAACGAATTGAACTCAAAATGCCAAGCAGCTTCTCATGAATTAGCCGTTCACATTCAGCAAATGCAAGAGATGGGACAAATGGATCTCATTCAAATCACTGTTGATGTTGGAATTCTTTTGATTGATCTTGTAAAATTGAGTGTTGGAGTTGTGAGTGGCGAAAAAATTGAGAAACAAATTGCGAAGAAGGAGATACTAAAATAGGATCCATATGGTCATGATTGGATCCAATTAGTGTTCATTCAGGTTTATACAATACGCGTCTCCTTCCAATGAAGTGATTTCGACAATGATTGGCAGTTGAAAGAACAACAATCGCATTGTCACACCCTTTCTTGTCGAAATTGTGCCAACTCTCAGCAAGACTGAGTTGCAGGATGACAACTCCGGTTCGCTGTTGTGGACTGCTATTGACAAGTTGTTTATGACGCTACTAAGGTGGCACACAATGTAACAAAAACCATCCTTAAACATTTATATTGTTGTCAATAATAATAATATTACAAAATTAAACATGGACATCCGGTTTTCACGTCTCTCTGTTGAATCAAAGTTCTCAAATTCGACAAATTTTCCTTTGCAGTAATTGTCTTGTCATGATTTTCACCAAAGAATTCAGCAAAAATTCTTTCACACGCAGCAAAATTCAAAATAGCATCTTCATATTTCTGTAATTGAATTCGACAAGCTCCCAAATCATTCAAAATTTCTCCATATTCAATATTATTATCATTTCCAGTCTTTTTGAGAATTAATTGTTCTGCCTGAGCAAAATACTTCTCAGCACTACCAAAATCTTTGGGATCGGTCTTGGTATAAGCACTTGCAATGGCTCGTGTCACAGTAATTTGCTTTTCGAGATCATCCTTAAAACTTTCTTGAAGAATTCCAAGAACTTTTTGATACTGTTCAATGGCTTCTGAGTACTTTCCTTGACGATCCAAACAAACAGCCAATGATTGATAGGTGGTCATCATTCCAGACGGTGGCTGTTTTTGTTTCAATTTCAAATCCACAACTTTTCGATAACATTCCTCAGCTCCAGAATAATTTTTCTTATTCAACTTGGCATTGGCTGCCAAACTCAAAAAGTTTGGATAAAGTGGATGATTTTCACCTCCCAAATTTCTGTTAATGATTTCAATACCCTTGTCAAGTAATTCTTCGGCTTCTTTATATTCTTGCTTGTCGTAGTGGAGATTGGCCATACTCAACAAAATTTTCACACTCTCAGAAGTAATTTCAGAGTATTCGGTGGTTTCAGTGTTGGCTTTCTTTTTCACTTCTTCTAAAACAGCCATTGCTTGTTGATAGTATTCAAGAGCTTTTGTGAAGTCTTGTTTGTGACGCGAGGCATCTCCCAAGCTTGTCAAAGTACTTGCCATTTGACGTCCCTTTTCGTTAATATTTTCATCTTTAAGAGTTTCAAGAGCTTCTTGGAAGGTTTTCTCAGCATCTTCATACGACTCTGAAAACTCTAATTTCAATTTTGCAATATTGGTCTTGATCGTGGCCACTCGAGAATCATTTTGTCCAAAGAGACCAATCAAAATATTCAAAGCGGCCTCATAATGAGTTTTCGCTTCATCAGGTCTTCTCAAATGTTTCAAACAAACGGCCAAATTGTTATGAGTCGAACTCACAGTAATGTCATTCTCACCAAAGAATCGTTTACGAAGGTTGAGTGTTCTCTTGAAAATGGGCTCAGCAGCCTCATAGTTATTTTGCAATGTGAGTGCCACAGCGTAACCATCAAGCTTTTCACTCACTGAGAAGGAGTCTTCTCCGAAAATTTTGGCATCAATTTCAATAGCATCCTTGTAGTATTTGCAAACATCTTCATAGAATTGACTGGATTTAAAATCACGTAATAATTGTGCGTAGGAAGCGAAGGCATCACTAATGAATGGGTGATATCTGTGATAGATTCGTTGCATGATGGTAAGTCCTCTCTCGAAATATTTCTTGCCGTTCTTAATGTCACCACGTTGCATGTAAATTTTAGCTTGAGCAATGTAGGATTTTCCAATGAAAATATCTTTCACAATGTATTCTTCATCCTCGAATCCAGAAACAATGGCGAAAGGATCTGAGGAGGTCTTATCGACCTTAATTTTCTGCCAGTCGTGTGCGTGTCTGGTTGCAATGGTGACCATCTTTTCAAAGTATTTCAATGCAATGTCGTGTTGGTGTTGTCTAAAGGCAATGTCACCTGTCAAGAGAAGAATTGGCAATTGTTTCAATTCATCGCTAGGAATGTCACTCAGAATACATGCATTCTCCAGTAATTCGAGAGATTTCTTTGCTTTCAAAAAGGCATTCTTGTGATCCATCAAGTCATAATAAATCAATGCAAACCCTTCATAAAAGTATGCCTTTCCAAATTCATCTTGTAATTTATCCACAGCAGCATTACTCTCCAAGAAAGTGTACAATCTTCCTCGATCAATGGCAAAAATAACATTTCTGAAAATGTAACGTCCCGTATTGAGAGCATCCACATAATCACTATTTCCCAAACCTTTCAAAAATTCGACCACATATTTCATATTTTCAATATCCATATCGTAACGCTCTGGACCTGGCATGTAAATAATTCCTGAGTATTCATGTTGCATATTGTACAATCTCAACAAGTTGTAATAGTGTTGAACGTAACGTTCCTCAGCTTCAGACATAGATACCTTCACTTCATCAGAGTCTTTCAATTCTTCGTCTTTATAAATTTGGAAAGTGTCTCTCACCAAGTCGTGCATACTGAAACGACCAGTTTCATTTTGACAGACCATACCGACGAATATGAGAAATTGCAAATATTTGAGAGTTTCATGGAGTGGCACTTCCAAAATCAAACTTGCGCTCACAGCATCAAAAGAGAAGGGGAAAATGGAGAGCTTGATGGCAAAATCTTGCAATGGCTTCTCCCACTTCTTCCAGATACCAATGAAAAATCCTTGACACAATTTTCGAAGTTGTGGAAAATTAGTCCTTGCATAACGATCCATAAAAGTACCCACAGCGATCGAATAATCAGCTAAATCTCCTCCGTACAACATTTGTGAACGAATGATGACTTTCATGAAAATTGGTAAATTCTCAGCGAGAGCAGAGATGGATCTTGTCTGTTCATTTTGAAGTTTTGGATTCAAATTTTGCATCATTTCTGCGCCACAATCATAACTCAAAGGTTCCAAATTACAGTAAATGACATCAAATTGACGTTGAAACATGGGGATTTTTTCATCGTCGTTTTTGATACCCATGTGAATCGCAAAGGTTTTCTTTTTGGAACTTCCGAAAATTTCTTTCAATTCTTTTTCCATTTTTTTCTGTTGAGGAGTTTTTCTGAGGTGGTACTTTTCAGATTCGGTTTCGTCCTTCTTCTTATTGTCGTCGTCGTCGTCGTTGTCTTCATCGTCTGTTTCAAAATCAGACTCGTGATCAGAGAATTCATCTAAATCGTGTTGATCCGCAGCAATATATCCTTCCAATGATGTATTTGTTTCAGGAATACGATCTCTAATTTGTTTCACACCACCATCTGTCACAAGGTCAATATAACCTTTTGAAAATCTGTCCAAGTCTAATTTGAGTTGAGATCTGGAGCTAATCACAACAAAGGCACGACTCGATGGAGAGTACTTGATATTAGGCAAAAGAGCTAAAACCTGATGGATGTTGCTAGGATCTTCTAGATATAAAACAGTGGTTACACCAATAAAGGATTGTTGATAGAGATCACGAAGTTGTTTTTCGTGGATTGGTAAAGGACCTACATGCCATGTTTGAATCACTTGTTGCATGGCCTCCGTAGTCTTTTAACATGTGGCAAAAATTTGGAACATGTTGTGTGACAAGTGGTTCATCCAATTATCACAGGAAATATAAATGAAACAATAGAATAAATAACAGAACACATAAATGAAACAACAATAGGTGTGACAACAGACAAAGGAGATCCAACCATTATTCATTATTGTCGTAACACCATTCTTCCTGAAATTTCAGTAACGACAACTTACAGTAAGAGAAAACTTTGTGTTCGCTCTCAATCTCACATGGAATTTTCTCTGAACATTATCAGGAAATTCCTTACACAATTCTCTACAAAGTTGAACACAAAAATTTGACTTTCCGACACCAGTCACACCCTGCACAAGAATCACCTTCAATCTTTGAGCGGCATTTCTCGCCAAACTATCGGCCGGATTCAAAGGAACTTTTCCCGTTTGTTGAGATTGAATTTCTTTTTGTTGAGCGATTTGAGTGTGCAATACGTGAAAGAGTTTTTTCATGAGTTGAACTCTTCCTCCACTGTTTTCATTACCAATCAAGTGAAAAGTTCTTGGATCGTTGGTGAGCTCATCGGGATGAACAACTCCATTCTTGGATTGATACATTCTCGAGTGGAGATCGAACTGGAAGACTTGATCGAAGGTGAGATTCTTCCTTTTTGAAACTTCATTTTCTGAATTGGCATTGGCTGTATTCACAGCTCGTTGAATATTTAAAATTCTAATTTTCATAATTCCAACTTGTTCACGATCCTCTCTTTCGAACATGTAATCATTTTGAGCGTCTTCTTTTCTTGCAAATTGAGGATCCTTTTCTAAAACTTCAAGTAAATATTCGGCAGCTTCGGAGACTGTTTTCACAACATCTTTCACATCGACATGAGACATGGTTGAAATGAATGGATTTTCTCTGTCTGTATTCAGCAAGTGTTCATAGAGAACGACTTGTTGATACGCACTCTGAATATATTCGCACAAAGCAGTGGCATAAATTTTGTTTTGAGGAATATCGAGCGAGACTTGTGACAATTTATCCACAAGAGGAACCAAAGAGGAAAGATCAATTGTTTGTGAAGATGAGCCGTCGTCAATCATCTTTGTGAGACTATGAAACAAGGTGTGTCGATGTTTTTAATTAGAGTGTTGAGAGTGTTGTTCTTTCGGGTGAGTGATGATGATGACTCTAGAGTGCAAAGAAGAAGACAAATTTTGTGTCGATGAATTATCGGGTCTTGTTGTAGTTTCAAAAAGAGGTATCGTGTGGATGATTGATCCACTTTCTTTTGTTGCAGTGACACGATGATGATGACCGAGTGAAAACTCTGTTAATTTTTTTTTTCTTTAATTTTGATGACATTTGATGGTTTGTCAGAACGTTTGCATGAGATTGAGAACGTGCTCAAGTCACTGACAGCTTCTCGCGCTTGGTCAACAATGTATATTTTCCTTTATATTAGAAATAACCGGTATTAGATGTGTTTTAAAGAAGGCAGTCACAACACTTAATAATAACAAAACACACTTCTTCCTTAATCACACAAGGCTTTGGCAACGAAACAGAGAACCAATTTGTAATGAAGTGGGTTGAGATTCAAACTTCAAGAATCCATATCAGGAAGAGCTCTGCAACATGAATGACAAAATTTAAAAGATTCTGTTCTTTGATATCTGTCGACGCCTTCAAAATTGAAACCATTGTGGCTTCATCTTCAAACTCTTAGACTTTAGATATGACTTGCATGATTTTGAAGAAACTCATTTTAAACACTTTCTGTCTGGAAATGGTAGATATAAGTATTTTACGGTTCATAGATGCCTGAGGTAAGCTTTGAGAAAGATGGAACTTGAGAGATTTGGATTTAGTTGTAAAAACAGCCTCCGAACAAGTCAAGTCCTTCCTATTACCCCAGAACGACCTCAAAAAGTTACATATGAGGAAATTGATGAGATCAAACCTCTTATTCAATTAATTTTATGCAATATTTGAAGGAGTTCTTGGAGAAGTGAGCTTGTTACAGGTTATCTACCCACTCAATAAGTTGCATTTTCCAAACCTTTCTAAAACCAGTACTCAACAAATGTCCTGAAACAGTCCTGAAATTTTCACGAGAAATCAATACAACGCTATTTCACTACATTCAATTTTGGGGATGCCATAATTCTGCCTCATTAATAATCAACATCATCAAATGAGTAGACAATGAAATAGATGTCACGATTCAACTGATGTTGGAGAAGAGCAAGGCGGCTTTAGATCTGGGAGCTAAACTTATCATCGTAGAGAGATAAACAAGAGTCTACTTACTGCTGTTCATCATAAAGAATCTCCACAAGAAAGATCTGCAAGATTATGATGATTTCATAAATTATGTAATTTTAATAGTATTATAATGATTGTAAAATTTCTCGAGAGAAGTGCCTCCAACATGGCGCCAATTTGTACAATTTTTTGTTAGCATTGCAAATTCGTAGAAATGAACATCATCTCCACCACAAGAAAAAAAGCGACTCGCTTGCAAAAGTGCATACAAGAGAGAAGAACTCTACACGTATTACCCGAACACGTCTATCCCCATCTAAATTATTATTGTATTTTTCCAAATTATTTCTTCAGCATTATCATCATCCATTAAGAGCTGTTCATACAATTGTATATAGTTTCATAGCTCTTTGCAACATCATTAAATAGATTCAGGTTAAAAATTATTATTGAGTACAGCTCGACAGAGGAATACATCAATACTGAAATTCTTTGAATAATGACTAACGACTCAGCTCATCAACATCATACTGGGGAAACATCTTCGGAACAACAAACCGCCACAACAACCACTAAGCCCATTCATCAAGAGGAACACTCCACCATAGAAACTGTCTCCCAAATCGATGTTAATCCTTCACAAGAGGAGTATTTTGATGAAGAGGAAACAAATGAACCTGTTCTTGAGAGTTTACCAAATACATTGGAGTTGACTCCAGTTTTGTTAGATAATGCTTCTTTCAGAGATACCATGAAGCATACAGTCAAAGATCCTGTTGAAATGAAACAAGCACATCCTTCGACCTTAGAGGGCTTTACGAAATTTCACGACACCAAAGCTGAGGAACAAGCTGCCAAAGAAAAAAATCATTACCAAGAAGAAAACAATGCTTCCCAATCTCAAAATGAACATCACGATAACTCAGAGATTCATGTCTCTCATCATCAACAACACCACGAGGAGGTACAACATCATCATCACTCAAAAGAATCAGTCGCACAAGCACATGGAGAAAAAGCACATTTCTCAAACCATGACCACCAACATGAAGAATTGAAATCCGATAAAGGATCGGAGAGCTTTCAAAACCACCCATCTACAAACAATGACCAAGGTACCACCTCATCACCAAGCATGCTTGGAGAGGAAGCTGTACTGTCTCATTCAGAGAAGGAACAAAACACCCCTGGTGGCTTACCCAGTCATGAAATCGAGGCAAACGGTAATGACAATTCCATTCATCATCCTCATTCGAAATCAGAAATTATTCACCAACCTGAGAGTGGTGATATGGATAATCACGACGAGAAAATTCCGATTAATGTTTCACACCATGATGCTGCACCTGTGAGCGACCAAAATTTGGAAAGCCCACAAATTCATCAGCGTCTCGACGAGATCAACAACAAAGAGGCACACGTTGCTCATGAAATTCATGCAAGTAAGGAGTCAGTTCATAACGAAGAGGCTCAAGAAACAATACCAGAAGAGAACAACCATTTCAGGAATCAAGACGCTCACGTTCAACATGTCGAAAAATCTCCCAGAACTGTACACAATGACAGCCAAGTCCAAACTGTGACACTGGAGGAAAATTCTCATCGAGAGCATTCAACACCAAGAGAAGAAATTTCTCATTCACACTCTGTGTCAACCCAGGAGGAACACGAGAAAAGAAATTCTGATGCCACCCATCATGATCCAACTCACGAAACAACAGGAGAAGAACCATACATGCATCACAACACTAGCATTAATAATGATGAAGCTGCAGAAAATAGCTCTAAGGATTTGCAGGATAAAGTCCCCTTAGAACAACACGAAAAAGAGCACGAGGAACATGTGTCCAAAGATGAATTACTTGAAACATCCCTTATTCATGAGACGCCTAGCTCTTCACATATCTCCGAGGAAATGGAAGTAACCACAAGCGTTGATGAAACATCCATTCAACACAACTTGGAAAACGAAGATAAGGCGCTTATTTCTACCGAGAGGTATGATAAATTGAAAGAAACAAATGACGACATTGCTCAATCCGGAGAGCTGAAAGAGGAGGAGAAATTGGGTGTTGAAGAGACACCAGTTCAAGCCACTCAAGAGCAAATGGAAGAAGCAACTCAGCAACAGGAAGATGATCATGTATCTGACTCCCATTTGGTTGAGCATAACTCAATTGATCATGCACGACAACTTGTTGAGGAACCGCAAGAGGAGCGAACACACCATGAAAACCTGGAAACAACAGAGGAGTATGAAATGCATACACCCACTGAAAACAACTTTGATGAACCTCGAGCTGATACTACTGCCAATAGTACGGAGATAGAGCCAGCTAATGCACATCATCACCATGCTCCTCAACATGACACAGAAGAGGAGGCTAAGCATCATCATTCTACCAAAGATCACATTAACGAAGAAACACAAGCAATTTCAAAGGGTGAAAACTCCTTCTTGGATGAACAAAAAGAAGAAACCATGGGACATGTGAACCCACCTCATGAAGATGAAAAGCGTTCTCACCATCACCATGTTCAAGAAGAGAATGACATTGCTCCTTCTCAAGATCTTGCTCTTGAGGAACCTCAAACAGAAGTTCATGCTTCTCATATGATTGATGAGTCATCTAATTCAATTGCTTCACCTCATGAAGTTTCACAGCAAGCACACTCACTTCAAGATGTTCCTCCTGTGAATGAGGCAAAGGAAAACGAAAAATCTGAACACTCTGCACAACACCATGCTGCCCAGAGTCAATTCGAGGAGACGACACGAATTGCTGAGACAGCGGAAGAGTACATGGAGCCTCAACAAGATCACAAAAAAGAGACACCTTATCTCCACCACCACCACAACGAACATGTCGACCCAGAGATGAATCTTCATGATATTGAACAACATCCCGTGCCATCATCAGAGAAGGAAGTTGATGCTTTTCAAAGTGAAGTATTGCCAACAGGAGACCCAGAAGCCTTAGAAGAAAAAATGCCAAGTTCTGAACACGTGATGGTAATTGAGCAGGAGCAACATCATCAATCATCAGCCTCAGATTCGCATACTAGTACGGGACACGAGGAAGCACACTCTCATCTTCACAGTGAGGATACTATACAGCATGTTGAAGAACATCATCATCCTCACCACGAACATTCGCACATTCATCACGAGGCCAAACATCATCATGACCCTCATTTGCAAGAGATTGATACGAGTGAGGCACATACAACAACCGGAACTGGAGATGAACTCTCAACAAATACGAAACACCAAGACCACCACACTCACATTAAGGAAGACTGCACTGTTCATGAGCACATCGTCCATAATGAGGACGACCACACTCACAATCACCACCACAATCATCATCATGTAGAAGAACACGGTTCAGCACCACTGGATCAACACGATGCTTCTCATGCCGAGAGCCATCACCATGCACAAGATTCAGAAGAAGCTCTTCTTAGCCATCATGCTGAGCATGGGTCTTCTCTCGAGCATGAGCATCACCGCGAGCATGAAGAAAGTGGTCCTATCGAACAGCATTCAACTACAAACATAAACGACCATAGCACAAATAGCTCAGAACTTCCAGAAACATCCACTTCAACAGAGCTAGAAAGAGACCTTAACAAACTGCACGAGTCTCAACACAATGCAGAACATCAGCATCATCACCACCACCATGACCACAGTGAAGAACTTCACCAACATAACCATGAAACTCATCAAGAAGTGCAACACCAAATCCAAGATCAACACCATCACGAAGAGCCTAAAGATCATCATCATGAACAACATGAGCAAAGTTCAGAAGCTCATGTCGCCAGTCATGAGCATTCTCATGAAGAACACGGCCAATCTCACCCTTGCGATGAGAAAGATCATCATCATGAACATCAAGAGCATTCAAGTAAGGCTGTTGCTCATGATGAAACGGTTGTCCACGAAGCAGCACACCATCATCATGCATCTGAAGCCCATGAACATCATCAGGGCGAACATCACGACCACTCTTTGCCTTCTGATAATCATCATGAACATACTCATACCGTCTGTGAACATGAAAATAACACACTTCATCAACATTCTGAGAATGTTGATGCTGATCACACTTCTGAGGCTAATGTCCATCATCATGAAGAAAGCATCAATACAAGTATTTCAGAGAATGCAAGCGAGTCTCATCATGAGAGAAGTGTAGAACAAAGCAAGGAAACAATGGAAGAGTTATTGCACACTGAAAATACTGAAACGGCAGTGGAAAAGCATGACTTACATTCAGATCACCATCACGAGCACGATCACACTCACCAACATCATGAAGAGCCAGTGGAAACAAGTGATGAAACCACACCTCTCGAGTTAGGTTCAATATCACAACAAATAGAGGCCTCCCAAGAATTGTCAATGAATGAGGAAAGCACAATTGTTGACGAGGAAAATATTAAACCTCAAATTGACGACAAGCAAGATCAGCTCACGAAGGAAATAATTCCTGTTCAATCTGCTGAACCTGGAAATGATGATACAAACAGCCAAGAGACTATTGAGCGACATATCCATGACAAGGAGAATTGCAATTCGACCACTCATGAGGAGCCTCACCATCATCATCATCACCACCATCACCACCATGACTCACCAAAAGATGAGAGTGAGGAGCATAACGAGAACGCTGTTACTTCACCAGAGTCTTCAGAAACATCTCATGCAGTTGATGAAGAGAAGGAACATCAAGATACGGCGGAAAAGTCTCACCACAGTGAACCACATCTTTCAGCAAGCCAAGAGCACACAACTAGTTGTTTACACGAAGACCATTACCAAGAAGACCAACATCCAGCTGAAGAACAACAACATACAGCTGATCACGTCGAAGAGCATCATCATACTGAACATCACGAAACTTCATCCCGTGATCGTTTTGAATCCCATCATGCTTCCTCTGAGGAAAAAGTACATGAGCAGACTCAAGAAGAAACAGAAAACTTGCACAAAGAATTACTAGTACAAGAAGCTCATGAACGTCATCACGAAGAAGCAACAGAGGAGAACCAAACTCAGGAATGTGCAAAGAAGGAACCTGTAGATGATGAATCAGATCATCGTGTACACGATAGCAACTCATTTATTCACAATGAAGAGTCAACAGAAGTTGCCGAAGAAACGTTTGTTGAGGATGCTATTGAGAATGAACAAGCTTTAGAGGATGAAATTCAGCAACCAGTTGACCACCTGAACCATGAAGAATATGCTCTTGAAGAACCAAACGAAACGCAAATAGATGACGAACAAGGACAGAATGAGCAAGAATCATCTGCTGCTTTGCCAATAGACGTCATTGAAACTCAGCAAGAAGAGATCCATCTAGACGAGGAACCCAAAAATACTCCTATCCAGGAAGAAGAAGCCACGGTTGAGGCCCTGCATGAAGATTACAAACAACCACCGGTTGACAAGCTCCATCATGAATCAGTTCATGCTCAAAGCGAAGAAATGGATCATCATCATGAAGTTAAACCAACTGACGAAGGAGAAACCTCTCAGAACGAACTCAACGTTGAAAATTTTGAAACTAAGGAACCTGCTGCTCAGTTATTAGAAACAACTCAAGAAGAATCCAACGAAGATTTGCAAGAAGAAGCAAATGAAATAGAGAATTATCAATTAGAAAATGAGTTCGAAAATCCATTTACGGAAGAAGAGCCAACACTAACCCACATATCTCACTCTGGAGCTGTGGAAATGCAAGAGGAAGAGACTGAAACTACTGTCCAACCTTTAGAGGTTACAGAAGACAGCATGCTCCATGAAGAAAATGAGTTCCAGGATGTAGTAGCAAATGAAATCGAGGCAATTTCAGCAGCTGAAGAAGAACATTCCACAGCCCATGATCGCACTGTATTTGAGGAAGAACATAAAGATACTCACGATCATGTATCACATCATGAATCACATCATGCACACCATGAACATCATCAGGACGAACATGGACAACATCAGGAACCTCACTCCGAAGAGGAACCAGCTGAAACGAAAGAAGAATTTTCAGATGTTCACGAAGAGTCATTCGATGACAAAGATTTCACTATTCACCCACATGAAACTTCGTTTAATTCAATGGATGATTTTGAATCGGGCAATCACCTATCGTCTGAAGTTGCTCCAACCCTTGAGGAGAATGAGATAGCCCCTCATGAAGCACCCACCTTAGAAAATCATAGCCATACTAATGGCATGATGCATGTCGAACAACAAGAGACAACCACGATTCATGGTGGTCAACACTTGGATCTTGAGGAGAATGAAACCTCCAAAATGGAGGAGCAACAAGCTCACGAAAGCACATTCACATCAGATCCAACCGTTTCTAGAGAGTTTGAAAACGAGTTTGTGGATGGCAAACAAGAGACGTTTGAGGAACTTAAGGCGGATGCAATGCAAACTGGAGATGAGGAAGTAGCCAAGATCAACGATCACAAAGAGACACCAATGGACCACCATCATCAGCTTCATACTGGCGAGGCCAAAACAACAGATGAAACTGCATCACAAGTTCATAGGAAGGAAGATTCTGAAAAATTGATGGATCATCATCATGACCACATGACCTCTGTTGTACATCATGACGAAGCGACTACCGCCCAACATTATAAAGACGCTCATCACCAAACCTCAGACAGTCGAGCCTTGGACAATACACACAAAGAAGATGACTTTTCTGAAGAGTTTGCCGAATTTGAGGAATCAGCTACTACCCAAGAAGCAGAGAATGTTGAAATTCACCATGATGACCATCACGTGGAGCACAACAGAGAAGAGCAAAAGCATGTACGATTTGAAGAAGAACATTCAGTAGTTCATGTTCATAATTCACATGACAGCTTAGAGGAACACCATACCACCTATCATCCTTATGAGGAACTCACTCATGAGCAAAGCAAGAGTATTTCGGAGCCTTTAACCGAGGAGTCACTACCATTCACTGTTGTCAAGGAAAGTAATCATTCTCAAACTGTGCACAATCTCCAACAACAGAAAGAAGAAAACGAAAATATTCAAGCCATGGAAGAAACGTTCGAGGAGGAATTTGAAGACTTCGAGATTCAAAAACCTGTCTCTGAAAAAGATGCCCCTACAGTTGACAATCACACAGTCTCCCAAAATGATAGCCATGCTTCTAAGGAATCGCACTCAGAGAAAGCAGTTGAAGTTTCCAGTCATCATTCCCCAACCGTTCAACATGAAGAACCTTCAACTTCTCATACGGTTGCTACGGAGGCATCCTTGGAACCTGTTGTGGAGGAACAAAAACCAGAGCCCGTCAAGGAAAGAACACTTGAAGATGTGTATATTGAAAATTGTCAGAAGAGAGATCTCAGACCCAACACAAGGCTAAGAAAACAATTTGCAGACGGATCTATTGTAGTTGACGGAGAAGTGAATTTATTCGACAATTATCTTGGCGACAAAGGTCTTGAACCATTTTTGGAAACTCTGTTGCAATTACCCTTCTCAAAATTAAGTCTTCCCAAGCAAGGACTAAGAAATCCGGCTGTGCAATCATTGGTTGAAATTTTGAAGCAACATCCTACTATTGTAGAAATTGATTTAAGTGATAACCTCATTTCCATTGCTGGTGCGTTGGCCCTGATTGACTTTGCAAAATCTAACCCTTCCATACAGAAAATCAATGTTGAAGGAACCTACGTTGATGACATTTTCAAGCAAAAGATGGAGAAATATCTTGTTCAACACAGGCCAATTGTAAATTAACTGTAAATTAAAATAATTTAATTTGTGAACCAGATTTACGCACTGAATTCATGAAATTTTCTATTGCTGAGGGGATTTGCTTTGCGGCACGGTGTTCAATGACCAATCTATTTCTTCTTTTTTCCTGATCCAAGAGTTGGGAAGTCTTTATCCTTATTGCGGATGCTGCTCGAAGAAGAGCTTGCTTTGCTTGTTGATGGTGTTGCTTTAGCGGCCCAATCTCCTTGCAATCGTGTGGAAGTATTTTCTTGTTGAGAAGATGTTTGAACAAGTTGCTGTTGTTGTCTCTTTGTCCAATCATTCAATTTGACTGGCTTTCTTTTCTGAGACTTTTCATTTTGCAAAATAGCAGAAGCTGCAGAAGGAGAAGGGAAATGAATATCATTCACAGGCGGAGGAGTCATATCAGAAGTCAACTCTGGAAAATTGCTAATATGCAATTCTTGCAACAACTTTTCCCTTGCCAGCCTCTCTTCTTCCTTTCTGGATTCTTCTCTTCTTTTCTCCTCTTCTGCTTCTTCGATCTGTTTTCGTATTTTTTCTTCTCTTTTGTTTTTTCGATACTTCAAATCTTTGTAAAAGTATGAAATGCTGTCCTGTGAGACGAAATTTTTCATTTCCACCTCCACGAGTGAAATATAACAGCCACAAGGTACGTGTTTTAGAATGGGATATCTCTTTCTAAATTCTTCATCAAGTTCCACAGTTTCAATCTCTATAATTTCACAACCAGAAAGTGTGTGAGGGAATTTTGTAAAATCTCCATCGTACTCGTGAAGTAAAATTTTTGTACAGAGAGGGTGAAGAAACATCATTTGATTATCTTCTGATTGATAATACCAATAGTTATCAGGATCTAGCTCTGATTTTTTCTTACTTTCATCCACTGTTGTGTGAGTCGATGTATTACTAGATGATGCTGCTTGTTTCGCTTTTCTGGGACTTTGGCTTGAGCCTTTTGGTCTTCCTTTAGGAACATTCTTCGTGATCCAATCTTGAAAAGATTTTTGTCTTTGTAAAACTTGTTCTTTTGCTAATTTGATAAATTGTGTCTCGTCACCTGATTCTGCCTCCTTCAATGAAGAGTCCAAGTCCGATAATTCCTTCTTTATAATACTAGAAATGTCATAGGTGACGTTAAATCTGCAAAATTTTGCAGAGTTGTGGTCACCATAAACTGGATATACTGTTGGCAATGAGTGTGACTGAACACCTCCAAGGCACGTATCGAGATCATCTAACAAGTCCGGTATAATAACCTTCTTGTCTCTTTTAAGCAAAACAAAATTCATCTTATCATGCTCCTTATATTTTGGCTTGACATCTATTTGTACACTTCTCAATGCATCTATGTACACACTTTCATTACATAATGGGCACTTTCGATAGGTTTTTTCTCCCATAGCTACATAACGCAAAATGCAAGCATAACAGAATACATGCCCACACTTGGTAATTTTTGGTGCTTTCAATACTTCAAGACAAATTGGACATTGTTCTTGATTTGGGTCATGGGTTTGCTTAATAACCAATTCAATGGTGTCCCAATCGACTAATGTATCCGCATCAATTCTTCCTTGGTTGTATTCATTTGCAAAGAATTGATTTGTTATGTCATTTACATCTTTAGTAGGCTCTGCGAGAGGTCTCAACACAAAGTGGAAACTGTGATTGTAGAAAATGTTTTACATGGCCATGAATATAATAATTCCAAATAATAAAAATTAAGATAAAAGCCACCACATATTAATAAATACATTAGCACACATTTGGATGACCAATGAATAAATTAATAAATACTTGTCTCAATGCCATGCTAAAATTACATACTTTGCTAAAACATATTCCTCTTGTGTTTTAGGTCTGGCATAATAATCATTGTGATGGTGGTGGTGATGATGTTTGTGGCGATGATGTCTATTATTATGGCCATTATTATTGTGATGATGGTGACTATTGTTTGAGGAGGAATGATGAGAACCTGAAGACGAGGCTCTATTTCGATTCGTATTGTTGCCAATACTAACATTTCCAGCAGCAATACCACTGGCACCCGTCAACTTGAAAGCATGTCCTCTATAGTCATAAACATCAGTATTTCGGAAATATTCTTCTTCTTCATTCGGAGAGTCGTTTGAGGAGACTGTAGGAGAAGAAGTGGGAGGAGAAGAAAAGGCTCCACTACCATATCCTGACATTATCACGTGTTGCTGAAAAGCCTTGTTTCGTTTCTTCCTTTCATAGGAGGAAGATTTGAATGCTCCTCTTCTCGCTTCATGATGATGGTGTGTGGAAGATGAAGAGGCCATAATCGGAATACCATTCGCTTCCAAAGTACTCTGTCCTGGTGATGATGAATAATGAGTGGTGTTGTTGATATTATTATTGTTATTCTCTGATTTGTCCTCTTCATACTCCTCATCATCATCATCCGATGATTTGCTTGTACTCAAAATAATCTCTTCCGGTGGAATGTACTCACGATGACCAAGTGTCTTGCCATTACCATTGTTGTTGTTGTTGTTGTATAATTCATCATGGAAAATAACCCTCTCTTCTCCTTCTTGTAAGTTCTTTCCAAAAGTACCCTTACTATTCTTCCTTCTTCCTCTCGGATTGGTGGATGATGAGGATTGTAGATCTTCTACTCCGTGCTGCGAAGGAGGAAGAGGAGAACCAACAACATCACCACCATTCGAGGAGGAAGAGGAACGGCTTGATCTTCTCTGTGCATGATGATGATGACGTTGTTGGTAGGAGAGATGAGAAGACATTTTTTCAAAAGTTAAATTTGGGAGTTGAAAGTGAATTTGGAAATTGGGTGAGAGTTGGTGATCATCAAGTGTTGAAGGGGATTGCTTGGAGAATGTGTGTGGAGTGAGTAGGGTAATTAAAATCTATTCGAAATTTAATGAATCAATTTTTAATTGGAATGAAAACCTTTTTTGAACTGATTCATTAAGGCAAATCATCCTTGTCATTCATTCATTCGAACAAGAAATAGTTTTGGAAACATGTTGAACCTAAAGGTCTCTGGAAGCGAGTCGAGATCTTTTATGTGACAATGATAAGTGGTACTGACTATGCAAACTCTTTTCTGACAGCAAATTTTTACTCCGTCATTGATTGTTGTCACGCCCAAATAAGCATCATGATAACAATAGTGCATTCTTGCTTGATATAATTCATCACTGTACTCAAAGACATATCCATTGCATTTGAGAGCTTCCATCACAAGCTCTTCATCTTTTTGTAACTCTTTGCCAACATATTTTAAAGCATATCCATTGTTCTTCACTACCTCTCTCAAGAGTTCTTTTTCAATTATTTTGTCACGAGTAACTGCTTTTGGCACATAGCTGAGTATTCGATAATACCCACATTTCACTGCTTGTAATATGAATTGTTTATCATATAATATTTCACGAGAAACCTCAAATAAAGAACTATCATGTTTGAGACATTTCCAAACAACTTCTTGATCACGTTTCATCGTTTCACCTACCAGCCAGAGACCACTATTTTGTCTTACAGCAGCCAATGCTAATTCTTTGTCATTCTTAAACTCATCAGATGCATATTTAAGAGCTCAAACATTTTGCCTTACAGCAGCAATATCACTTCTCTATCACTTTTCAGTCTATCGGACGCAAATTCAAAAGCACAACCATTTTGTCTGACTGCAGCCAACACTACTTCTTTGTCATTCTTCAACTCATCAAATGCATATTCAAGAGAATATCCATGTTGATTGACAGATTTTAACATGAATTCTTTGTCTCTCCTCAATTCAAAAGATGCATATTCCAATACACTATAATTGTCGTGTCTAGCGGCCAGTAAGGCAATCTCTCGATCATTCCTCAAATCCTCAGATGCATAGCAGAATGAATAGCCATAATTTTTGACTGCATTCAAAACAATTTCTCGGTCATTAATGATTTCATCACTTGCATGTGCAAGATAGCATCCAAAAACTTGAACAAGTTTCATCATGACATCTTTTTGTGAATAATCAAAAGATTCTAAATGAGAAAATTCTGGCAAGATTGTTTTAATTACTGTCAACATGAATTCATGATCTAAACGTAAATCTTCGTCAATATATCGAATTGCATTCTTATTTTGTTTGACTGCTTCCAATACTATTTCCTTATCTAACTTCAAATGAATATTGTCCTTAATACATCTCAATGCTTCTCCATTTTGCCTGACAGCAGTCAATGCAATTTCCTTATCGATCTTAAAGTTTTCTGGTGCGAAATACAAAGTCCATCCATTCTGTTGAACTATTTCCAAAGCGAATTCTTTATCAATTTTCAGTTCTGAAGGAACATCCTCCCATACATATGAGCAGCTTTTTGCGGCTGTCAATATCACTTCTTTATCCTTGCGAATGTTTTTACTAGCAAGTTGGAATTCATATCCATGTTGTTAAACCACTTTCAACACAAACTCTCGATCTTCTTTTAATTGTGTGGAAGCATATCGCAATCCATTATCATACTTTTTGATGTAATTAAAAACAAATTCCTTGTCATTCATAAACTCCACAGGAAAGAAATCCGAATATTTCAATTCACGATTCAAGAGCCATTTCTTTTTTCCTTCTTGTTGCAATGAGAATTTCTTTCAATACTAATTCCCATCTCCGAAGATCATAATTCTCACCATTTTCACCAAAAGAAAAAGAGGAATTTGAAAAATCAAGAATGGTTAACTTTACATATTCATCACTACTACTTTTCATCAGAATGTTCTGTCGCTGAGTAAATTGTTGATTCTTGTTGTTGCGAGACTTATTTCTTTCTTAAAGGGTGTACATTTTTTCCCGCTCAAAATAAGAACCAACTTTAGAAAACCAACCTTCGAATTAAGAACTCTGTCCTTGTTCATTATTGAAAGTACACAGAAAAGTCTTGATCACAATCTAGAAATCCGTTCAGAGAAAAAAAGCTTGCAACACAACTTGACATTCAGAACATCCAAATTCTTCTCAAGGTTCATGAACTAATATTGTCATCATGATTTGAAAAAGCAGTAGAAAGAAAACGAGGTGAGCACATGTGAAGACAATCTTACACGCAATGTCCTTAAATTATGCTTACCAATCAACTTCCTCTCTATGGATGTCAAATTCGATATCCATTCATCCAGCTTGTTCCTTCTTCTTAACACCGGATCCTTCAACAAAAAAATTCACAACAAAAAAAAATTCAAAACAAACAACACCGAATTTCTCTTCCGAAACCAACGATGGCCATGATGACCCACGTCGACCTCTCCCAATACCCCAAAGTCGATCTCGCTTTCATTGGAGGCACAGGTCTCTCCAAAGTCGAAGGTCTCTCTAACATTCAAACCATTGAACCTTTTGAAACTCCTTTCGGAAAACCCTCTTCACCCATTGTGATTGGACACATTCAGGATTTGTGTGTGGCTTTCTTGGCTCGTCATGGTCTCTCTCATTCCATTCAACCGACCGATGTTCCATATAGAGCCAATATTTATGCATTGAAAATGTTGGGTGCTTCGTATTTGGTCTCTTTCGGAGCTGTCGGTTCTCTTCAGGAAGAATTGGCTCCAAAACACTTTGTGGTGGTGGATCAATTCATTGACCGTACTAAATTCCGTCAATCTGAAAATACATTCTATGATAGTGAGGGTTTGGTGGCTCATGTTTCTTTTGGAGAACCAACTTGCAAGCAATTGAGTCAAATTGTGTTACAAAGTTGTCAAAAAATTAGTGAAATTCCACGTGTGCACTCGAGTGGTACCTATGTGTGTATGGAAGGACCTTGTTTCTCATCACGTGCAGAGAGTAAAATGTATCGAATGTGGGGAGGAAGTGTCATTGGAATGACCTGTTTGCAAGAAGCCAAGTTAGCCCGAGAGGCTGAAATGGCATTTGCTTGTGTGGCCATGGTCACTGATTATGATGCTTGGAAAGATGATGCTGAACCTGTCACTGTTGAAGAAGTGGTCAAGATTTTACACGACAATGGAGACAATGGAAGAAGAGTGATTCAACATGTGGCCGCCAATTTTAAAAAGTTTGAATCATCGGCTCATTCTGCCATGAAGTTTGCCTTGTTGAAGCCAGCAAGTAGTTTGAGTGATGATTTGCAGAAGAAGTATCACGCTATTTTGCACAAGTATTACTAAAAGAGATGATGATGATTATTTTATTTTGAAATTAAATCATTTTGAATCATTTTGAATTTAAATTGAATGATTGAAAAATCATTTAAAAATTATTTAAAATTAGAATGTGATGAAAGAGAGAGTTGTGTGAAATGAGGTATTTGTGAAAATTGACTGAGAAACGTGTTGTAGAGACTCGTAACCTCAATATTCCTCTCCATTCCATTCAATATCATAGGTCATGGAATTCAACAAACCCACACCATATCGATATTTCTTAATCATTGGATCGAGTATGAAATAGAATTGTACCAAAAATGGAAATCCATCGTTCGCCCTAAACAAAACATCTCTGTGAATACCACACGAACACAATACATCACGTAACCAAACAAAACAAGATCTCACATCCTTACATCCAGTCCATAATGGCATTAACATTCCTCCAATAATTTGAAGTCTACTTCCCGGCAGAGGTTTAAGAATTCTTCTTGAAAAAAGATAATCTTGTTGTTGTGGAATGTATGAAACAAGAGCTAAATCCTTATTCATTGTTTCTTCTTCACAATCGTTCGTGTGATGACTGTTCGTCTTTGTGATGATCGTTGTCGACGATGGAAGAAAACATTGCGTGAAATTTCTTCTCAGTTCTTGTCCAGCCACATGAGACACGTCACAATGAAACAAATGAGCTCCACTCGTAGCTCTTGGATTGCATTCAATGGGATAAATGGTTATAGTTCCACTACTACTGAAACAATTCGAACTCAAGTCGTTTCGTCTTAAGAATTCCCGACTCAGAGAATGTCCACCATGAGAAGAATTCGTCACAATTAAATCAAAAGAAATTTGGCCAGTATATTTTCGATGCCAAACCAATTGAGAAATCCATTCTTGTATCGCTTTGTCAACTTCCTCATGTTCCAATGGTTCAAAATATACAGAGCTACCCACATCAGTTCCATTTGGAGTATAAATTCCTCCCAAATAACATGTATGAGCTCGCAAAATTCCATCTGTAGCAACTCCAAACGAACATAGGATTTGTCCTTCAATGAATTCTTGTGCGACCCACCATGAAGACTGGCATTCCTTAATTTGGGAATGTAATAAATGTAATGCTTGTTCTTTCGAAGGTTTGACCATTGTATCCGATGCAAATCGAGAATAACATGGTTTCAGCACAATCTTTCCAGAACATTCATTCCAAAATCGATTCAATTCCTCTTGTGTGCTTTTTTGACATAAGAGAAGTGTTTTTGGAGCTTTGAATTGAATGTTCCTTATTTGTTGACGTTGTTGCGTTGGTTTTTCATGAGTCGCACGGAATGTTTCATCCAATCGATCCCGTTTTTTCTTTTCAAAATTGTTGTTATTTTCCAAATTTTCACCCTGAGAAAGAGTAGTATTATTAGTATTATCACCATGGTTATTATTAAATTTTTCATTCACTTCTCTCTCAATATATTCAATAAATTCAAACTTGTTGTGAAGTTCTTTCAAATTTTCAATACTCTCACAAAACACAAAACACTCAGTTTCTTTTTCAATTCGATTCTTGGCTCTTCCCACATGAAAAACCTCCTCACATGTAGGAATGAGAACAGTGATGGAATACTTTTTAATCATTTCCACCAATTCATCCTCAAATTTGAAATAATCCTTATTTGGAAAAAAAGAAAAATAGTGAACATGTTTGGCATGAGTTGAGAAATTTGAAATAAACATGGGTCGATAATAGGGAGTTTCTGTTAAATGCACTTGATGACCTTCTTCGGAGAACATTCTCAAATAATCGAGAGCCACCGGAGCACGTCCTCCGAGAATGAGAATGTTGTGATGGCGGTGATGATGATCGATTGGATTCCGATCGGAAAAGTTTGTTGATGATTGTGAGGAATGTTTCTTCTCATGGTCTAGTAGTAGAAACGAAAGATGTCATAATGTTAAATTATTATCATTTGGTGAAAACATTATTTCATGAAAATAAAATTCATTATCGCCATCATCATGAATATCCCGTATTATAAATATAAAAAATTATTATTCATATCAAATTAATTTTAATTTGAAAATTACCTTCGGGATGATCCATGAGATGCGAATGAATATTATTATTATGAAGAGTGGTGGTTGATGTGAAAAATTCGGCAAGAACTGCCAACACTTGATAACACGCAGTCAAACACAACACAGAGAGAGTCAATGTGAATTTGAGTGCGTAGAGTCCGACCGAGTGAACAAACGATTCCATCTCTTTTGTGACTCTTTTCAGAAGGAGTTGAAATAAATTTTTTAATCTCACCCACAGCATCTAACAAGAATTGTTTGTCATTCAAAAGAGTTTGAGATGCACATTTCACAGAAGCACCATGTTTGATCGCTTCTAAAATAATTTCCTTGTCGTGGTTCATCCTTTCATTCGCATGGTCAATTGAATGAATATTTTGCATTACAGCTTGCAATACAACTTCTATGTCGTTTTTCATATCATCTGACGCATAAGAAAGTGCATAACCGTTTTGTCTGACAGCTGCCATCACAACCTCTTTGTCATTCTTCAAATCATCGGATGCAAATTTTAGAGAAGATCCATGTCGATGAACAGCACTTAACACAACTTGTTTGTCGCTCTTAAATTCAGAACAAACATTATATAATGCAAAGTAAGCGTTTTTAACGGCCAGAAATGTAATTTCTATGTCATTTTTCAAACCATCAGATGCGAATTCAAGTGCA